TGGTGAAGAGGGAGCTGAGCCAGAAAGCCAGGCTCTCAATTTACCGGTCGATCTACGGCCCAATCCTCACCTATGGTCATGAGCTTTGGGTAATGACCGAATGAACGAGATCGCGGATACAAGCGGCCAAAATGAGTTTCCTCCGTAGGGTGGCCGGGCTCAGCCTTAGAGATAGGGTGAGGAGCTCGGACGTTCGGGAGGGACTCGGAGTAGAACCACTGCTCCTCCGGATCGAAAGGAGTCAGTTGAGGTGGTTTGGGTATCTGGTCAGGATGCCTCCTGGACACCTCCCTGAGGAAGTGTTTCGGGCATTTCCTGCCGGCAGGAGGCCCCTGGGTCGACCCAGGACACGTTGGAGAGGTTACATCTCCAATCTGGTCCGGGAATGCCTTGGGGTCCTGCCGGAGGAGCTGGTGGAGGTGGCCGGGAAGAGGACGGTCTGGAGCTCCCTAGTTGGGATGCTGCCCCCACGACCCAGACTCGGATAAGCGGAGGAAGACGACGACGACAATAAATGAGTACTCAGGATTACTCATGTAACTTGTTTCTACACATACTTGAAAACTATTTGACTGTATCACTTTCAAAGCTACTGCTAGCTAACTACAGATTTGTTATATTTTACAAGGTAAGTAAAATAAATGTTGCCTTTTGGTCAAAAGATTGCTTCTGTTTACAGTTTTAGAATCACTTTATTTTACATTGTAAATTTGTATTTTTGGAGCATGACCAGTTTAAAGTCAAATATAAATGTCCCAAAGCTTTAACTAACTTGTACAACAAAGTAGTTAATCCTGGGGCTGACACTCTTTGTTAATACTGATTGTGAATTGATTTAAATTGAGAATCGAGAATCGATTCTGACTCGAATCGGCACCTCAGGAATTGGAATCAAATCAAATCGCGAGTTGCTCCAAGATTCATATCCCTATGAAACACCACAGTTGGGTTCTTTTTTAACAAGGGGGGCAAGGTTTGGATTTTGTTCTCTCCCTAAATAATAAAAACCATCATTTCAAAACTGCATTTTGTGTTTACTTTGACTAATGGTTAAATGTGTTTGATGATCAGAAACATTTTGTGTGACAAACATGAAAAAGAATAAGAAATCAGGAAGAGGGCAAATAGTTTTTCACACCACTGTATCTATCCATTAACCCTGATGAAAGTGATCAGTTAGGGAAATTACACGCTTGTCTTGAAGTTGGATGACTCAAGACAAGACTGAAGTTCTCATCTTTGGACCTGAATTTCAGAAAAGGAAATTGCTTAGTCAATCACCTGACCTGAATGGCATTAAATTGATCTCTGAGAACAAAGTAAGGAACCTTGATGTTATCTTTGACCAGGACATGTCATTCAAATCCCATGTTAAACAGGTTTGTAGGACTTCCTTTTTCCACCTTCGGAATGTTGCTAAGATTAGAAGCATCCTTTCCAGGAGTGATGCTGAAAAACTAGTTCATGCATTTATTACATCAAGACTGGATTACTGTAATTCATTACTCTCATGAAGTCCACAGAATGTAGTTAAAAGTCTTCAGCTTGTCCAAAATGCTGCAGCTAGAGTTCTGATGAGAATTAAAAAGAGAGATCATATCTCTCCTGTCTTGGCTTCCCTACATTGGCTGCCTGCTAAATTCAGAATAGATTTTAAGATCCTCCTTCTCACACATAAAGCTCTTAATAATCAAGCTCCATCATTCATCAGTGATCTGATTGTTCCATACGTTCCTAACCGAGCACTTCGCTCTCAGACTGCAGGTTAGGGTACACACTCGACAACTTTCTTCTACAATCTGCTCTTTAACTGTATTATTTCCTGCTATTTCAGCTGTTAACTTTATTTTTTCTCTAAGTGTTTTTCTCCCCAGAAGAAGCTACAACGATGTTCTGCTGAGCTGTGGTGGCCTCATGGAGGGGGCCATCGGCAAGCACACTGCTGCTAACCACTTAAACATTCTCCCTCTCCTGATAATAACATTTTACTCTCTTTGACATTGAATGAGCTACTGCTAGTTTACCCGTTTATTATAGATTCACTAGAATAAATACAATAAAGTTTATCTTTCACCAAATAGAATATTTACTAAGAAATTACAATGTAACCATAGAAACATTACTTGTGTGTGTGTGTGTGTGTGTGTGTGTGTGTGTGTGTGTGTGTGTGTGTGTGTGTGTGTGTGTGTGTGTGTGTGTGTGTGTGTGTGTGTGTGTGTGTGTGTTCTTGTGGGAGCCAAGAGCTGTGTTTGCGTACGTGGTGTGCTACATCCTGTTTCAGCCAAGTTTTGAGATCAGTTCTAGTAAGACTAATATTTGTCTGAATGTTTATCTGAAAGTCAAGAGCAGCGGATGCATCCTGTTTAGTAGGTTTTGCTGGGAAGCAGGGAGACTCCCAGTTTCAATTCATGTCTATGTGAAAGACTCGTTTCCTGAGGTATGTAAGACTGATGTCAGCAAAGTGTAGAAATGGTCTCTCATTTTGATGTGAGGAGAGGCTTTTACGAGGAGGTGCTGCCGAAAGCTCAGCATTTTGCTGTCCCAGACTTGGTTCTATCAAACTGTAAAAATGAAGCCCCCCACTGTTTGACGGACAAATTTGTCTAATTCTCTTTGTGTCTTGTTAAATTCAAAGAACCAGAACACCACACACTGTCTTCTCCATCCCCAGTGAGTCATGGTGGATGGCTGCTTATACTGAGCCAGGATCCTCTGGAGGATTCCTCCTGTCAAAAAGGAGTTTTCCTCTCCACTGTCGCTGCATGCTTGCTTAGTATGAGGATTGCTGTAAAGACTCTGACACTAGTCAGTGACTTGATGCAACCTGCTGGGTTCCTTGTACAGGAAACTTGTTACGGACTGGCTTAATGACCTGACCTGCATTGTTTACTGTGTGAAGGTCCTTGAGACGACTCTCGTCCTGATTTGGCGCTTTATAAATAAACTTGAATTGAATTAAATCCTGTGCCATCGTCGCCCCAGTTAAAGCTACCGCTAAGTGGGAGGAGTCTGACCACAGGCTCTAAACAAAGAAGAATCTGCTCATGCATTAAAGTGGGAGGAGTCTAACCTCAGGCCTTAACGTGGGAGCAGGGTTCCCACTCTTTTTGGACATGATTTTCCAGAATTTTTCCAGGACATTTTCAGCTGCTGCAGTACGGGTCAAGTTATTACAACTAGGGCTGGATGATTTTTTTTCATATCAGGATGCATTTAGAAACAGATATGATACTGTACCTACACCATTATATCGATTTTTTAGTTGTGCAAAGATCGTTGTCTTTAACTATAGGGAGCCTAAGTCTCCTCCCGTTCCGGTCGGCTCATGGGTTCTCGGGCTAAAAGCTATTTTCTAATCCGCTTTGCCTTACGTCTTGGCTCACACATGTTGTACTGCAATTTAAATGAAAAGTAATGATGGGTGTTTCGACCACGCCAGTCATGTACTTTGACATTTATCAGGTTGTAAACGTTCGTAATTAGCTTAACTACACACCAGAAATCGGCACGTCGTATATGTAACACCACATAATCTAACTCTAACCTCGATTACGTCAATTTCGTAAAGGGCATTTGTAGTCCTGGACTTATTTTCACACAAAACCTAAAATTGCGTTTCCCCCTGTTCGAAAATAAGCGCGTTCTTGGTATCAAAATGTTTCTTTAAAATTCACGGACATCATATGTGAAATCTACGGCACAGAACAAGCGGAGTTAGAAAATAGACCCGTTGACTTGCATTTTTTTTTTTTTTTGTTCTTCTGGGGACCCATGGTCTGGAAGAAACGTAGGCTCTCTATGTTACCTGTTTTCCTTGATTTGCATTTCAACTAAACTAAAACAGAAGTGATTCTCTACTTTAGTTCATACACTGCTATTTTACATCCTGATATCAGTTTAAAAGTCCAAACTCTCACAGTCAAGCTGCATCAGTCACTAAGTTAAAAAAATATGACCAAACTTTCTAATGAATTTCATTTGCTCATATCCAGATGCATAGTTTACATAATCGAATCATGCGTTTTGGACTGAATTATTTTGATTTAACAAATCTTTAACTATTTTTTGTTTGTCAGTTATATTGTTGAAATGGATGTAAATTTCCAAACCTGCGTAAAAGTCCCGCCTCCTCGTTTGATTGACAGCAAAGGGGAGCTTTCTCCACACAGCTTATGCAAGACTTAACTCGAAACAGGAGACTGTCAATAATGCGGGACGTGAGTTTCAATCTAAGGGACGCAAGAAAAGTCATAAGAATGCAGGATTCTCCCGCTCTGGTTACCATAGTGATGACACACTACAGCTCTCCCTTTGCTCTTCTGTCAACAGAGAGAGGGAGAAAAACCTCTCATCCACATACTGCGATATAGCAGCACTTTTAACCCTCTGGAGGCAGGCATTGCAGATTTGCAACATTAAAACCTACCTACCTGGTTACTCCACATACGTATTTCATGAGCATTTTTTAACTCAGAAGTACCTCTGAAGGACTTCGTTGTTCGTCCTTTTATCGAAACTTATTTTGAGCCTGAGAGGGTTAAACTGAAAGTCGCTAGCTTTGGCCCTTCTTGGATAAATAAATCTTTACATGAGTATGAAACATTGGTAAATCTAGCAGCAAAGACAAATGGACACACTGGGAAGCAGAACTGTTCTAATGTTTTTGATTGGTTGGTAGCATCACATGGGCACTGTGCCGGCTGGATGTAGAAATGAAAGCAGACAAGCGCTACAGCCCGATGCCCACTGAACACAGCTGAAAACAGAAATTCATGTGTAAAATGTTTACCCGTTTGTATTTATTCACAAGGAGGGAAAATCATTTTCCAGGACAACTCAAACATTTCCAGGACATTTTCCATGTGTTTTCCATGACTGGAAAATGGGTCTACCATTTTCCAGGTTTTCCAGGTTGTCCAGGACGTGTGGGAACCCTGGGGAGGAGTGTATTCACAAACACTGAATCTGGGTAATAGAAAAAAAGATGAATATTTCGGGACCTTGAGGCTGTCGAGAAGTACAGTGGAGGATGACTCTTCCATTGGAGACTCCGGGTTGGTCCAGCTGCCTGTGGAGCTGGCTTGGTGCCAGCTGGTGTCAGACCCTGTGGAGGGGGCTGAAGCCTGCAGGTAGTCCAGACCAAAAGTACCTGAAACACCAGAAACACACGTCAACATCTGGAGAGGTTTGAGGTGACCTCCTCCAGGTAGGTTTAGACCCCATGAATATTAAGAGATTGCATCCGTATTAACATGCATTCACAAAATGCTGGAGAGCAACAGAACCTCCGCAGCCATAATCCAGAGCTGTATCTCTGCGATTGAATATCTACAATTATCTGATTAACATGTCTGGACTCACACAGCTGAAGCAACCAAGGTGTAACCAGATCTCTTCTACGTTTTGTGGATTAAAAGGATACTTTTAAATACTTGAAATAGTTGCAATCATTTTCTTGAGTCAGTGTGTGCTAATATGACCTTTTTATTTGGAGAAAAAAAGTTTCTAAAGATTAGTTTGTGTGTGTGTTGATGGATCTAAGCATGTAACTTCAGCTCCTACACACACAAATCACCTGGCACACACGGACAAAACTACATTACACACAGATCAGTTTACAAGCACAAAAAGCCTTTTGAGACTCTTCACACCTGACTGATTTGTGCGTACATGGTGCGTTTGAATGCTGGGTGGAAGCTGGAAAATCTGAGCTTCCTTTGGATTTATTCTAAACTTGTGTTACTGTGATAAATATGGGTTTCTGTGGGGAAAAAAAGAGTATCTGTAGGTCTGTAGTTATAAAAGATAGACCTACATTTAACTTGTAATAATCTAATAAGTGTTTATGGACCATGGAGACGTAGTCAAAGGGTTATAAGAAATGACCACTAGATGGCAGAGTGGTTCTTTGGAAAAAGCAGGCTTCAAACCGGGAGAAGACACTAGAAGATGACGCGGCGTCCTGGTGATCTTTCCTCTGAAGTAATAAAAGTTAAGCCTGCATGATTTGCAGTCTGGTTATAATGAGACAGCTATTATTTTAGACGGGGTGGGGCGGAGCTTGGGCATATGATGTCACATGTCTATAGAACAGTTCTGGGTTTTTCATTCACAAACAAAAGCTGAAGTCTGGTTGGATTTAAAAACTTTTGTAGAACCACAGGCAGCCACAGCAGCAGAACTCGGCCCAAACCACAAAAAGCTGCATGTCGGGTCAGAACCAGACGCTCTGACTTACCGGGCTTCTCGGCCTTCCAGCGGTCCACCATCCTGCGGTCCCGGCTGTCCGGAGTGCCAATGGGCCCGAAGTTGGAGAAGGGCACAGGTCCGTGGTTGTGTGTGGGAGGGGACGAGGGCAGGCTGCTGGGGTTTGAGGAGTGGGGGGACTGGCTGGCCGGGGTGGAGTGGTCTGCCAATCAGAGAGCAGCTTCATCAGAAACACTGATCACACCTGTACCTACACCTCTCCAGGTGAGACGTACCTGAGCTGGCGGGGAGGGAGGGGGACCAGGGAGTTCCCTCGAACAGGGAGTAAAGGGATGTCTCCTGTTGCATTATGGGAGCATCAGGTTTGGAGCTGAGGGCCAGGTTTTTGCCGTAGGCCTGGCTGAAGATGCTGTTCTGGGTGTACTCCTAAACACAAACAGAAGGTTCTGCTCACTGATCCTGGAACAGTTTAATGGTTCTGACCCGAGAACACGTCCAGATGGAGGTTCTGACCTGCATGGGGAAGCTGGTCATAGGAAGGATGGAGGACAGCTGGCTGACAACCTCGGGGTCGCTCTCCATCCTCGTCTGGTTGGGAAGCTGCAGAGGCGAGAGGACAGAGTGGGTGAAACCCAGTCTGGACCTGGTTCCACACAAGACCAGAACCTCATTTATAAAAGGTGGTGTAGAATCCCGACTAAAACTAACAATCCCATCTATAAACCACACCTGAGCTCAGGTGTTTCTGGATCACGTCCCTCCTTCTACACACCCACTTCCTGCCACAGACTAAAGAACATCCATCCATCCTCTTCCACTTATCCTGAATCGGGTCATGGGACAGCAGCCTAAGCAGAGAGGCTCAGACTTCCCTCTCCCCAGCTACTTAGGCGAGCTCTTCCAGGGAATTCTAAAGCATTCCCAGGCCAGCTGAGAGACATAGTCCTTCCAGCGTGTCCTGGGTCTACCTTTAGGTCTCCTCTCGGTTGAACGTGCCTGGGAAAGCTCTCCAGGAAGGCGTCCGGGAGGCATCCTAACTAGATGCCAGATGCCTCTTGATGTGGAGAAGCAGCAGATCTACTCCTAGCCCCTCCTGGATGACGAGCTTCTCACTTTATCTCTAAGGCAGGGCCCAGCCACCCTGCAGAGAAAACTCATTTCCACCGCTTGTATCCGTGATCTTGTTCTTTCGGTCACTACCCAAAGCTCGACAGATCGGTACAACGCCCGCATCGCTGCAGGTGCAGCACCAATCCGCTCCAGCTTTCCCTCACTCATGAACTTGGGGATAGGACGTCATCCCTGACCCGGAGAAGGCATTCTACCCTTTTCGGGCTTAAGGAATATCCTGCATATAAATAAACCAGAGGTAACCATGACAACCAATTAAGATGTTCTACTGCATTTGAGTGCCGCGGAGCGATGACGGTGGGATTAAAAATAAAAACAAAGACGTGGTCAGATGGAGATGGCATCCTACACAGCTGCAGCGTGGAGCTCAGGGGCCCGACTCTGGTGAGAGGAGCCAGTTTAGGATGTGTGTCCAGAGACAGGAGGAGCAGGGAGAGAGACGGGAGCAAGAGACAGATGTAGGGGGGTGACATGAGAAGGGGAGACAAGAGGAAAGACAGGGGGAGGAGGAGACAGGAGGAGGAGGAGAGACAGGAGCTACATACAAAGATATTTGGTCCAGGAGCAGAGCTAAGGGGAGCAGCCAGGGCCTGGAAGAAATCAGGAGGCTTAGCAAAGGCCAGCTCCTCGTCCTCCTCCAGGTCTGCTAGAGTTTTTAACAGGTCAGGAGGTAGAAGAGGTGAGGTCTTGTTGTCCTGCTGAGAGAAGGAGCAAAGAGAGGAGGAAAACAGGAGGAAAGAAGGAAAGAGGTCACAGAAAATCAGATTAAAAATGTCAGATTAAGATCTGCATCTTCTACTGGAACCAGGAGAACCAGAGGGACCAGGAGAACCACAGTGATGAGGAGAACCAGTAAAACCAGAGGAAACAGGAAAAATAGAGGGACCAGGAGAACCAGAGAAACCAGGAGAATCAGGGATCATGGGTGTGTGAGTTGGTCTCATAGGACTTTTGGGTGCTCTGAAGGTTCTCTTTCTCTAAGCAACCAGAAGGGGGCACTAAGTAGTTGTTGGAGGAGACGCAGTTCCAGGAGGACCAGGGACAGAGACGCAGTCTGGCTTCATCTGAACTCACCTCGAAAATGGGACCACGAGGTCCTGCAGGGACCTCGTGCTCTAGAGGCCTCTTCATCCTCTCAGACATTATGGCCAGACTGTCGCCCACCCTGTAGGGGGACTGCCTGTAGAAGTCCTGGACCTTGACGTCGGGGTACTTCATCTTCTTGTCCATGTTGGACACCTGAGATTGCAGCTGGTTCTCGTAGAGCTTCAGGGGATCCTGGGGGGACATGTAGAAGTTCTGCTGTAGCTGAGGAGGCTGCTGAGGTGGCTTCATGGACATCTGCATGGGAGACATCTTCTGCAGAGCTACCTGGGCCTGGTTCCACATCTGGGCCGGCTGGTCCTGCATGTACTGTGGAGCAGAAACACCCGTTACCGGGTCCCAGGAGGACTCGTTAGACAACACCACAAGTCATGTGACCTACCTGGGGAAGCCCCGAGGGGTGAGGAGGACTCTTCCCCATCCCGACCTGCTGGACCGGTTTGGTAGGAGACTGGGTGGGGACCTGGTTCATGGGGCCCGGACCTGGCCCCTGGCCCGAGGGTCTCTGCTGGCTGTAGGGAATGTGGGACTGCTTCCCGGCCTGGACCTGACCTCCGGTCTGGGTGTGAACGGCTGACTGGAGGAACGGTCCGGTAGAGAAGGTGAATCCTGGATTCACCTGGAGTCCCGGGAACGCCACCGGAGATGGGATCATGTAGGCCGAAGGAGGAAAACCTGCAGGAGGAGGCCAGAGCCCAAACTGGGTCAGAACACAGGACAAGACACGTGTCCGTTACCGGGTAAGCCGCGGGACACCAACGTACCAGGTCTGCTGGGCAGCGGGGGGAAGGCTCCAGGGTGATGGATGGGGATGAACTGGGAAGAGCTGGTGGTCTGGGTCTGAGTGACCGGAGTCTTCCTCAGCTCCGGCTGGGCCTTCACCTGGACACACACACAGAACAGAACCATGGTCCAGCTACATCTGGACCCGTATTCATGCTTCTGCTGATTTCTCTCGAGCGGTATTCCTAACCTCGCTCTTCCTCTTCCCGTCCTTCTTCAGCTCCCCTTTCCCAGCAGAAGCTCCAGCTCCTTTGGAGAATTCCCGGCGCTCCTTGCAGGAGTCTTTCTGCAGGTGGCTCCGAGTAAGATCATGGCTCTGCTCTCTGGGTTTGATGTTCTCCTTGAAGGTGACAATGGGTCGCTCGCCACTGTCGGGCCAGGAGCTCTGCGTCTTTCCAGTGGACAGAACCGACTTGAGGCCCGTGTTGCCGCCATCGTTGGGAGTCTGCTCTCCATTGGACGACTCCTGCAGCACCGGTACCTCCTTGTCCTGTGGCTCCTCAATGGCCTCCTCTGGAATGTCAGTGATGAAGATGAGGAGTCCGTCCTCGCTCACTCTGTACCGGATCAGCCTGCAGAGATGAAAACAGAACCCACCAGATGATGATCAGCCATGTGGATCGTTGAAACCAGGTTTGTAAGAAGACTGAGAACTGGGATGAAAACTCACCCCGGCTGGTTTTCACACATCCATCGACCCAGACCGATGAGGCGCTGGTGCCGGGCAGAAATGGGCAGGCCGTCCCGGTCCACCAGGATCCCCTGGTGACCTTTGGCAAAGTCCAAACTCCTGAAACACAGAGACGTCCCAACATCAACAGGTGGCCGTTTAAACAGCATCAGAGTTCTATCCCTACTGAACCGGGTCAGAACCTCAGAGCAGGTCGCAGTGCCAAGAATCCCTGGAGCTCAAACTCCTCTGGCAGCGGCATGACTGTGGAGAAAACAAACGCACCTTCAAATACAAACAGACAACAGCTTTCTCCACAGAAGCTGTCTGTCCTCCTACCTGAGGAGAAGGACATGTCCTCCTCTCTGGGCTGGAAGCTGTTGAGGATGGACACCAGCCAGGGCCAGATGCTAGAGGACAGGAAGACGGTGTTACTCTGCACAAGTTCCAAACTAAAAAAACAAACAGGAAGTTAGACTTACTACTTCCTCTTCTCCACAGCAGACTCCTGGAAGACACTGGGCCTTAGCTTGAGCCAGTCCAAGGACAGCTTGATGGCTGGCAGAGGACACTCCCCCATGGTGTCCTCGCCCCTGTTCTTGTTCAAAAGGACCCAGCTGAACATCACACCAAGGAAGGACACTGGGGGAACAGGAAGTCTCGTCAGGTGGGCCAGAAGACAAAGAGACGAGGTCAAACGTCAACAAGGAAACCGGTAGTTGGATTAAATTCCTTTTACATGGACCTGATTAAATCTCGCTGATGATCAAGTAATGGACATTTTTCAGTCTGGGGTTTGACATCATAGCACAGAAACTGCTCATGTACATGTTTTTAATGATATTTTTGGCTTTGGACTCAGGTTTCTTAGGGATGCACCGATGGATCGGCATTTGATCCCAATCAGCCGATGGCACCCCTATCGGTTCTGATCGGAGTTTTCAAAATAGATCAAAGCAGGCTGATCAGATGACGTTTACAACAAACCGCCGCCAGGGCACACTTTCCCGCTTCTCAGCAACGCACGCACGCCACGCACGCACGCACGCCACGCACGCACGCCACGCACGCACACACACACGACACACACACGACACACACACGACACACACACGACACACACACACACACACACACACACACACACACACACACACACACACACACACACACACACACACACACACACACACGACTGTCCCAGCTGTTATTTTCGTGAAGGAGTGTGCACGTACAGCATGTGCGCCTCGTGCACGAACCTACAATTGAAGCTGCCGTTACGCTTTTGGCCTGGGGGGGCAATCGCGAGCATAAAAATTCTAAACTCTGTAAAGTCCCTTTAACAAATAAATTAAATCAAAGATATTGGTCAATAATGTCAAATATGTAAATTTGTGTTTCAGTCATTTTTATGCTGGCTTAAAAATACTTCATTAAGCCTACTAAGCAGGGGTGTAGAAGGTGTTTAATAGGGCCAGCCCAGTAATGATCTTGGACCAAAATAAAGGGGGCAGAAAGTCAAATAAAGGAGGGGCAGAAGGAGATGTTTTTCCAGACACCAAGAAAAATTAAATGCCAAACCCCCTGCAAAGTGTGTCAATGAGAGTTTAAAACAAAAATTATTCTTGTGCAAATATTGGTGTATTCACCTTTAATACTAGTTATTACAATGCATCAGTTGCTGAATTGGTGCAGTTCAAAGTGGAGTGTGTCTAATAAAACAATAGCAACATAAAGGTGAGACGTGTCTGTTCCCCTTTAGTAATTATCCCAATTCTAATATGTTCTTGTGTGTTTTACCAAATCTTCACTGTTTTATTACCGATCAGTTATTCATATCACTGCCATAAAGCTTTGGTTAACCCATTTACTTATTCCCATGCATATGTAATGGAATTAAATGACTCTTATTTTTCCCTTCTTTGCTCAAGACTAGTCTGCATGAGAGATAGTCTCAAGGTCTCATGCATTCCTTCTAACCTGCTTATTTTCAGCTCAACAGAAGAACGAAGAATGAACTCTTTTCTTTTAATTAATCAAAGAACTCTATTTTAATAAAGCTAATCCATCAAAGTGTTAGTCAATAAATAAGATGTGACCGACCTGTGAAATCAAAATATTAATTACTTTATTATGATCCTATAGAAACAATAAGTACTGTGACTTTAAGTGTTCCAACAGGACTCATTTCACGTAGTGTTAAAAAGACATAACACATTACTTTCACTGATCCAATCAGAATCTTACAGATCTGACGGAGGCGTGCTTCTGATGGTGTTTGGTAATTTTCATTCGACAATAAACCATAACATCCGAGGTATAAAACTACGCCATGTCAGCTCTAACACCAGTTCAAAGAATTCCAGAGCAAGTGACGGAGTGGCCAATCCTGATCTTTTAACTCTTTAACCGAAAGAACCACAACAAGCTGAAAAATCCAGTTGCTATAACAACCAGCCGCAACAACAGCTCCTTTCAGAATAAAAGCTCCACCGACCCAGGCTTGAGTCTGACCAGATGCCAATAAAGTGTCGTGTGCCGGAAGTAACTCAAGACGGGTTTGATCGGAACTGCGGCTTCTCCTACCGGCTCGGTTTCCAGAGAGGGTTCACTGGACCTCGATATTCCTGATCTACAGAGGACTTCCACAAGGCAGGTAGACCGGCAAATGGTGTCTCATGCTTTTTCTGAAGCTAACCAAGGCTTAATGCAAACCAACATCTTCAGTTCCCATCAGAACTAATCGCTTCTTTGGATTTGCTGGTTCTGATTTACAGCACACGTCATCCATTCACCGCCTTATCCATTGTTAGTTACACTATACACTAGGGCTGCAACAAACGATTATTTGGATAATCGATTAATCGGATGGGGTCTCGACACGATTAATCGATTAATCGGATTACATGGGGAAATTTTTAAAAACTGCTAGGGAAACGTTATTTCTCTCCTTCCTTCACTTTATTTAACACAACATTATTAGAAAACAGTTCAATATCAGAAAAACAACATGCCATCACCTAAATTGTCTTATAAGGTGTATAGACAGAGACCCTAAGCTACATCTATCTGTGACCTAAAATGCTTGGTCCAAGTTAAACAGCTTAAGGGCAATTCTCATCTGTTTTGTTTGATCTCATCTGTTGACATTTATTTTAAATGTAATTAAACATAAGCTGTGAATTAATCAAAATTGATCACTATTTCCAAAAATGACTGAAAAAATACCAAATAAAACAAAAGTAAATGAATGCCATCCTCCTTGCGATGATGCCCTGGGCAACTGCCATAAAGTCACATCAAGAAATGCTGCTGATCATTCCAATGATCCCAAATAGACTCACATTAGGCCACATGAAAGCAACTGAACCCAAAAATATATTAACCAGTATATAACTGCACTCTCACACAACACGCCTGCAGCAACAGTTAGGACTCCTCCCTCCCTTTTAAAAGCGTTTTTGCTTCCGAGGACATTGTGGTTGTAAAACCACATGCTAGTAGTCTGGCCCCGGTGTGATCAACCAGTTTCTGCGGGAATGTGACGGCGGAACCAGGGCCAGATTAACACTTTGTTGTACCCTGGGCAACAATATTCAAGGGCTCCATCATCACGACTCGAGGATCACCATAATGTGGTCACATACAGAATATTTTACTGTAATATGCAGTAAATATACTCAATACTTGAATGCCTGACAACACGTAACCCGCCCAGAGTAACCTTTGACCCACCTCGTGTGGACTGACCAATGAGGAGAGGGTCTTAACTTGAGGCCCTCTCTTCATTGGTCAGTCTGCATGAGACTGACTCTCAACTGACGTTCAGAGTCATAGGCAGCGAAGCGTCTCTGTGCAGCGCAAAAGCCCGGGTGGACAGTGTGGGCTGTCCTGTGGGCTGAAACGCGTTGGCATTGATGTTTTTAACAATTTAAGCCATGTACTAATAAAGGCTTTTTATTTTTGTACCTCCTGAGTGCCTCAGATCTCCTTTTGCCAACACTCATGTTGGGACCCATTTTTTGTAAGAACTAAATTAATATCAGATTCTGCCAATAAAAGGGCTCTAAAACAATTCATATGTAAATATTTTGCATATTTAATGCAAAATCTAATTTTTATGCTTTAGTGCTGCAACAAGGTTTTATTAATAATAAATTATTATACCTTTTGTTTTACTACAGCATCGGTAAGCTTCCTGTGCACAGATTATTAAGGATGCTTGTTTCAGCTGTGAGATTAGACGATAGGATCAATGAAAAAATAAGTTGTCACACACTCCATGGAAACTTTCAGATAATCCACAAATAGTGGCTTTCAAATAGTTTTGTTACTTTTTGCAAGTTTAGAAAAGAAGCAGATGAGACAGCATGTCTGATAATTTAGTTTTTCATCTGATAATATTAGAACATGTCAGTAATGTCTGAGGGGATTTTATAAACACCGTATAACTAACACTACTGGAGAAGGTATGAATTACACAGAGGCTTCTGGGGAGCCCAGTTATGGGGGGGGGACATTTTGCCTTGGCCCCCAAAATGTCTTGAAACGGCCCTGGGTGTGTGACTGAGTTTTGAAGGTGATCTGAATTGTATCAGATGTATAACTATGACATGTGTATAACTTATTGTTTTTTACTGGTAAAAACGTGTAGTGGAGATAAATCTACCTACATTTTACTTTGTTTTCTTGTTTTTATTTAACTATTTTCCTGTCCTGTCTGTCTCTCATCTTCCTGCATCTCCTCATAATTCTCCAGAAAATCTGTTGCCTGGATTCTTACCTTTTCACCTCATCAGTTACTTTTGAGCAGATCAAAGAGATCTCCTGACCGCAAAGCGGAGAGTGCGTTTTCGATGCTGCGTGAGGTGAAATCACCACAGCACAGGTGATGAGCTCCGCAGCAGAGCGCTTCAGGCACAAATAAGACAGAAAATAGAGAACATGTGCAGACAAGAACGATCGTGTGCCAATTATAGTTTTTTGGTTGCGCCACTTTGAGAATGGACCGTGCGCTGGAAGCAGCTGCCTGGATTGCTGTGCAACAATGCGGAACCGGTTCGCAGCAGCGCAAGTCTGCAGGCTCTCCCTCGCGCTGATCTGCCGGTACCGGCTCTCCCTTGCGCTGATCTGCGGCTCTCCCTCGCGCTGATCTGACTTGCTCTGGTCTGCGCGCAACGGCGGGCGGGAAGGGGGGGGGGGGGGCGCTTTTGGAAGAGTTGTGCGACACAACGAATCGATGACGCAATTCGTTGCCAACGCTTTTAGTAATCGATTTTCATCGAATTCATCGATTCGTTGTTGCAGCCCTACTATACACTTAGTTTTAAAGTCAGTCTAGTTTAATTTGTTAGTAATAAAATTCTTAACTTTTAAACTTGACTCTCTCTGTTCTGTTGTCTCTGAGTGAATACGTAACGGTTATCTAATCCCTGCAATAAAAAGATCCAATCTTCTGGTTTAAATAACCCAGTGTCCATTAGATGGGATTCATACTCGATATGGATCTTATGTCTATGGTCATTACTTAAACTGTAATCCTACATTTATTACACATGAAACTATAAATGTTTGGTCCGTTGGTCATCTGTATTAACTGATGTTGGTAATAAACTCAAAAAAAAGAAAACGTAAATAATGCCTGATCATTTCTAGTGATCTCGATTTTGAGACGATTTTTTTCTCGAGGTCGGGGCGAGTCGTGTGTAGTGTGCGTGGGGTAACAAGCACAGGGCGGTCGCACTAAGATCAAACATGTTTGCTCACACGTCATCGTTTTACTTCTACATTTTTTCTGCACACAATGACACGGATTGTCTAGAAAGTGTTTGCTGAGTTTATGTCAAATAAAATGGCTCCTAAAACATCAGGTTACTTTATCCTCCAACCCCCATAAACCCGAATGTCCTCCTACATCTATGGCAAGCCTCAAGGACAAAAGACATCAATAACAGCTCAGCAGTCTAAGGATATTCCGGGTTTTTCGACTTGAAGGTCTGACGTGTTGCTAGCACAGATCCGTGGCTCATGAGGTCGAGCTGCGTAGAAGTTGTCTGGTTTCAGAGGCAGCTGAATGTAAGTGAAACGGTTACACGGCGTATGCTGGTTCTGCCGGCCCGAACCCAGAGCTACGACCCGGTTCTTACCGAAGAGGCCCAGCAGCTGGAACCAAATGATCTGCTGCTCGCTGCTGTAGGTCTGCTCGCGGCCGTCCCCCGTCAGGTCTCGCAGGTGGTGGAGTTCAAACAGGTTGATGACGGTGATGTGGACCAGCTGCTGGGAGCTGAAGGCCTTCTGCAAAATCAGCCGCTGGACAAAAAGAAGACAACGTTCTGTCTGAAGCAGCTCCACGTAGTCATCAAAGTTTAATCACATTTACCATCTGGGTTTCCAACAATTATAAAAACAAAACATGCCAATTATTTGCTCCTCCCTCCTGTGCTGCTCCAAGTAACAAATCTAACGCACCTCACACACGACGTAACCATCTCTATCGCTAAATCTAACAACGCTTCAGACCCCCTCTTGAACCTTTACCCTAATGGAGAGCAACACATCTGATGACTCCTAGCATCTTTCTGTAGAAGTCCAACGGCAATAATTCGTGCAGGTTAGTAAAACATCAGGATACATCGACTGACTGACCGTAAACCTTTCTCCGTGGAGCTCACTTGCTTGCTTTACAAGCTAAAGCCATTGAAGACATAGCGATCCGGATCTGAAGTAGATGTTTATTCCATCAGGGCTGCCAATTCTCACGTGGGGCTCGCACCTGTCTTCACGCCACCCCCCCAGGTTCTCAGGCTGATAAACAATAACAGTTCATCTCTGAGGGACACACACACCTACGGCTCTGCTGACAGGACTACATCACTATTATGCAGCAGGTTGTGGAGTTCACAACAACATAGGTGTTTATTATTATATTGCAGGTGTTTGCCCTTCATAGCTCTTTTATAGCAGGTGAGGTCTGTAGGGTATAAACTGTGAGCAGGTGTGTTGGCTCTTTTAGAATAGAACAGACCTTTGTTGAGGGGGGTTAAGGCAACACTTAGAGAAACAGCGGACGTGAATAATACAGGTCAAAGGGCATTCGGCTACTGCCGTAACCTTCAGCACTGAAAAATAAATTTAAATAGAAAACTCAGTTTCCATGAAGAAACAGCATAAAGTCAGAATAATGCTGATTATCTTTTCTGCCATGATCGTGCAGCCCCAACCCCACATCACAAGAACCGTTCTGGTACCTGAAACTGCTCCTCCAGCTTGTCCCTCAGGACGTCCAGCTTGTCCAGACCCTTGCTCAGGTAGACGTGGCCGTGGAACTTGATGAAGGCCCTGATGAAGTCAGACACGCTCCACTTGGTCTTCACCTCATCACGGCTGCAGACACACAGAGGAACCGGGCTGTTAGAACTTCTCTGGAGCTGCAGAGGAGCAGCCTGATGGTGGTGGGACATTACCTGTCCAGAGCCTTGGATAGGGCCTTCTGCAGGTTGGTGGAGGCTGCTGGGAAGGGGAACTTGACTGCGATGCTGCGGCAGTAGTAGAAGATGGTGGTGAGGTGGTCTCCCTTAGAGGAGGCCAGGATGGCCAGCTGGTTGTAGGGCTGACCTGCAGAGAAACACAGAACATCACCAGCAGGAAACTACAAACATGGCTGCTGCAGCATCAGGTCCATTTCACCACACCAGCTCACCGTTTGATGGGACCAGCTGAGCTGCGTGTCGGTAGTACGACTCCGCCTGGCTGGTCTGGTTCCGATAACGGGCTGAAAAAGGAGAACAGGGATAAGAACCGGAACGTTTCTACAGATGTTCTGTTAGACCTGCTCCTGAGTGGTTCCTCACCGATGTCTCCCAGATGGACCAGGCAGTGCTGACAGATGTAGGAACAGGAACTGGGCTGAGGTGTGATGATGGTGCCGCCACCGCTCTGCTTGTTGCTGATGATGCCGAGCTGAGACGACTTGACCCGACAGGGAAGGTCCACGCTGAAGACGGTGCAGAGCTCCTGGAGCAACTAGAAGACCACAGAGATCCATCAGGACTACAGCAGGTCCAACAGAGGACAGAATACACACCAGAACTCGTCAGAACCCATAAGGCCTGCTCTGAAAACACTCAAAGTGCAGAAAAGTTTTTTTTTATCATCAAGAAACAAACTGAACAAGGTTTTAGTCCAATCGGGACTAAACTGGATCAGATGGTTCTGAAACGGCTTCTGCCTCTGGGCCTGGCGCCGTTCTCCTCTCTTTTAGCTTTTATTGTGAAATTCTCTGGGCATCCTGTTCCTGTGAAATGCTTCAGCATCAGGTGAAACATCAGACCTTCACCTACAGTACAGCCATCACATGACCATGCTGCTGGTTGACTCTCAGCTCAACTGGACCAGAACCACCACATGGCAGAACTCCAGGGTAGTTCCTGGGACGGGGAACTTGGCCAGGAGATGGGATGTCCCAGTCCTCTCAGCTGTTGTGTCTCCACCCAAATCCAGCCCCCCCCCCCCCCCCCCCCCCCCAGCGCATCCCGACTGCTTTGGCAGTGAGTGATGTCACTGATCAGCATCAAAAAGTTACTTTAATAATAAAAGCATCTATTTTATGGAATAGATCGTAACTGAATCCATTCAGAGGACAAGAGCAGCTCTGGTGTTTGTAAGACATGCCCATTACTTAAGTCTGTGGGGGAATTTCCCGTTTTCCCAACAGCTGTGGGGGAATTCCGCTGAGTTTTCCGTGTTGGGAGTTAGATTTTAACAGCGAACAAAGCTTTTTTTTTGTTGCTTCCATTCTGCTTCACCAGCTACTCTTCTACTTTTACTGCTGCCGGTTGTTTGGAGGTCTGCTGATGTCATTTCCTACGGAGATAAAACCGATCAGCGTTAGCCGGAGATTCTGCTCAGCTGCTCTGCCGGGCCGTTCGGAGTACCTCCTCCAGAGCAGGTGTTCAGAATATTCCTGAAACGGCCCGGTCAGGTGGAGACACACGCATGTTGGGAGCTTCCTGTAAATCAACCCTGAAGTTCTTGTAATGGAAACACGCCTAATGTCAGCTGGTTCCCATCAGAACCATCAGCTGGTACCAAAGTGGACCAGACCTGAGTGTAGAATCCACTAGCGGCCTCCAAGAACAGGGACAGGTTGGCCTGGACCTCGCTGCGGTTCGGGTTGGCTCGGTTCTTGGCCTGGCTCTGCAGCGTGGTGATCTGGTTCTTAAAGGCATGGTTCCACCTGCAGGTCCACACACACAGCATCAGAACCAACCGGGCCACACACACAACAGGTCAGAAATCCATTCGCAGAAAATCACACAATCTAAAGATCTGAAATTAAACTTTGTTCCGTCATTCGAAAGTTCCGTCTGCTGCCACGGTAACAATCCAAGATGTAAAAAAATGTGTAGGGGGGTGGGGCTTCTTACAGGTCCTGCTCCACCTTCTTGTCCAAGGCGTACTCCAGATCCGTAACCAGCATCTCCTGGTACAGGTCCTGCAGGGCCTGACGGGACGTCCACACCTCGGCCGCTTCCAGCTTAGAGTCTGAAAACACACACACAGACACACACACACACACACACACACACAATAAATAGCATCCGATCCTAGATCTATAACACAGCTAACTCTACCTGACTATGTTCTACGTCCGGGTCTGATGTTGTTCCCTAACAGAATTTTAATGCATCAGAAATCTAAAACATTCTTTCCAACTAAATGACTGATTTTATTAAATATATAACAATAAAAATCCAGACTAAAGGTGGTTTTATCTATTGTTGCGGCCTTCCCTTGGAGTTAGAAAGGATGTTTTCATGATCCCCAGATCCTTTATTATGAACTCTGGTTGTGTCTTCGTTTAAAATCATATAAATAAAGTTATTATTAACTAGACATCAACAGAAAGATTCTTCAGTTTTATTTGACTTTCATGCTCTTATTGCTCATTTATTGTACATTTCTATGGTGAAACACTTTGTTTATGAGCTCCGCATTGACTTACTAAACCAAACATCTGGCTGCAGATGTTGTGATCCAGAATAACCGGTAAATAGTCTGGTCCCCGTTTCCTACGTGTGATTGTTTGATTTTGAGATGAATAATGACAAAACACAAAATAGGAGGCAGGGAACACCTGTGCAGGTGGTGTTGGAGGAAACCTACCCGTCATGTCAGCCTTCAGGGCCTCTGCCTGTCTGCTCGGATGGACGTACGTGAACACACACACACACACACACACACACACACACACACAGCGAGAGCAAGAGAGACGCGTTAACATGATGAAAACACAAAGCAGCTCTTCCTCATACCTGACGATCCTGACCTCATATATTAAACAGATCATATCACATGTCACCATCCGCGGCTCAGACCACTTCCTGGATTCTATCTAGAACCACACCGATAGTAAGCGTTTTTTAAAAATCAAACAACGGCTCCACGTTTTAAGACATCAGAATATCCAGGTGGAAGAGAGAACCTCAACATCACCTGTAGTAACACCTCTCAATGAGTGACAGCCTCGACGCTAACAGGCTAACGCTACCCGATAATGACGGACCGTAGCTGACTAAACTGAACAATAAACCACTCTCACCGTCCCCCAACATTCATCATGTCTGATAGTGTGTGAGCTGGCGCCTCCGGACGCTTGCTGCTGTTAGAAGCTAACCCAAACTGGCCGAGGCTAAGGGGGTGGACACTGCTAGCTATGATGCTAACAACCGAGCAAAACAATCCACCTGAGGGGGCAGAAACAGCCCCTACCGCAACCATTTCCACCTCCACTAAAACAGACACAAGACACGAAACCGCACTTACCGCAGGTACTGGGCGCAGAGGTTCATCCTACCGGACCACCGGGCTTTCAGGCAACGACGTGTCCCGGAGCTAACGCTCCTCCCGACGCCATGTTGCTGTGTGACCCGCAGAGGGCCTCTGCTGCGGGGGAGGAGCGGCGGCCGCGAGGCGGGGGCAATTTAGAATAAAATAATCTCATAGAATAAATGAATATTATTAATGATGGTAAAAATCAACTGTTTGAGAATTATAACAACAAAACATTGTTAAAAACACAGACTTATGAAACCAGGACAGGAAATGACGGATGTAGTGAAAATCCGTGTAAAGGTTTAGTAACCTGACCTGGATCCCAGGTCACGACTGGAAACGGGCAGTGACGCAATACTACGTTTATGAACTGCTACCTTCAGAATGTAGTACCTTTGGGTCAGGTGCGTCTCTCACCTCTGATTACCTTGAAGTGACTAAGTCACTGGAAATTATTTAAACTGACCGATTTCTAACCGCTTATATAAAGGTACGAGCAAGACACCATGGATCAATTCATGTATCCTTCCTTTAGCTGGGGTGGGAGTATGACAGAACAGCGTTGGTTGGATTTGGGTCAGAATGTTGACTCAAGTAATCCAAGTAAATTATTCTGGTTTGAGTGAGACAGACCGGTCCAGCTCGCTCTGACCAGCATTCCTGCCTGTGTGGCAGGGTGGAGAAACGAGGGCCCGGGCGGGATTTGATCCGCAGACTTCCTGCTGAGAGTCACACGCTAACCAGTCAACCAAAGGGACATCCCTGTGGCCAAGTCGCCAGGTCACATAATCAATCAGGATATAGTGACAGGATGCTCACCCTTTCACATCTGTTCCCTAACCTTGAATTCTGTTGGAGAACATCTGACCTTTGACCCTACACAGCTGGTTAAGGTGGAGTGGTGATCAGCCGACTTGTCTTAAAGCTCAACTGACACAGAAAAGGTGAGACGGATGAGCTTTCAGACTTTTATTCTCCACATGGGACAGCAGACAGGCGTGACCTTTAATCCCCATCCTCCAGGTCTGTTCAGTAGATTAGCAACAAGGACGAGAGCCAGGAGAAATAAATTAAAACCCACAACAACTCGTCAGGTAAAAAACAACCAATCAGAAACGTCAAAGGAGAAAATAAAAGCAAATAAAAGCTTTTAAGTCAGTGAGAAAAACCAGAAGATTCAAATAAAATCCTTAAAAAGGTCATTAGAAAACAATTCAGATTCAGCTTTTGGTTCATTTCTCTCACTGTGCTTCTGTAACGCTGTGCGCACGCGCACACACACACACACACACACACACACACACACACACACACACACACACTGTACAGGTCAAACTTCAGTATTTACACTCATGTTTACATGTTCTTCATCTATAAATCAGTTCAGTTTCTCTAAATTTCCACAACTTCATACAAAGGTGGGCGGGGTTTCTCATCAGGCCCCGCCTCCGTTTCACTGACGGTCAGTCAGCAGCTGCTGTTTTTGAACTCTCCATTCTCAGTGATCGAAAGCTTGGTGGGGTTGTTGGGCTGCAGGCCATTGCGGATGTTAGGTGCACTGTAACGCTCCTTCACCTGCGTCAGCGCCGCCATCAGGCGAGAGTTTGCTGCGTCCAGAGAGCCGATCCGCTTCTCCTGATTGGATAGAGACAAGAAGGGGGAGGGGCAGGAAGTCAGACTCAAAGACAAGAGGAACCTAACAGGACGTGTGGGATTATTTCTAAAACTGCAGAAGAAACATCAGAACATTAAAGCATCCATGACTCCCATCATAACCAGTTAATCATAACCAGTTAATCATAACTCCCACCATAACCAGTTTATAATAACCAGGTAATCCTAACTCCCACCATAACCAGTTAATCATAACTCCCATCATAACCAGTTAATCCTAACTCCCATCATAACCAGTTTATCATAACCAGTTAATTATAACTCCCACCAAAACTAGTTAACCATAACCAGTTTGGTCATAACTCCCATCATAACCAGTAGGGCCCGACCGATATATCAGCCGGCCGATATAGGGGTCATTAACACCATTGGCTATCGGCCAAAAAGACTGCGATATGGCCGATATTGTGCTACCTATCCAGCAGATGGCGCCAGCTTTATGAACTCATGTTGTGCGGCTCCATTCCTTGGGGGGTGGAGCCACAGTCACAGCACACATGCAGCTGAGCAGCAGCAGAGGACGGTGATGAGGAAGTAGGAGGTAAATCTTCAGTTTTAAGCATATTTGTTGTGTCAGTGGTAAGTTGAACGATAAAATAAGCAATGACAAAAGTATGTTTCCCCTCAACATGCTTCCTAAGTTTATTGTGTGCCTCATGGCCTCGTATTGAAAAGTTAACCTGAAAAAATAAAATAAAACTGACATGCTTCCTAAGTTTATTGTGTGTCTCATAGCCTCGTATTGAAAAGTTAACCTGAAAAAATAAAATAAAACTGCTGCAGCATTACGCTCTATGCAGAGCTCACGCTGCTTCCCCTTTAGTCATGCAGGGCAGTAATTAAGTAACATTGGCCTTTTTCTGGTAGACATTCTGGAATATTCTCAGACAATTTCCTCCGCTCTTCAGCAGTCTTTTCAAACTCACGCGGTTCACCCGCGGCTCGCGAAAAAAATAGTGCAGACGCCGAAATGATCGCTGCACGGCGCGGGCGGAGCACCGGCGCGCAGCACTTCGGTGGCCCATGTGACCTATAGAATAGGATAACAAAGGCGACGAATGAAGACGGTCCCCGTTTCGCGGCGCTTCAGCGGCACACGACCGTTGTCGCAGCTCTTTGGTGTGTAATATAGAAATAAGTTAGCATCAAAAAGGCAGAGAATGAAGGGTTTAATCTTAAGAAAATTTGTATTTCTTTTTTTTTGTGAGGGAGATTTATCGGCCATTATATCGGCTATCGGCCTTTTTTAAAAGTTTTATATCGGTATCGGTCCCAAAAAAAAGCATATCGGTCGGACCCTAATAACCAGTTAACCATAACCAGTTAATCATAACTCCCACCATAACCAGTTAACCAAAACAGTTAAGCATAACTCCCATCATAACCAGTTTGGTCATAACTCCCACCATAACCAGTTAACCATTACCAGTTTGGTCATAACGCCCATCATAACCACTTTGGTCATAACTCCCACCATAACCAGTTAACCATAACCACTTTGGTCATAACTCCCATCATAACCATTAATCATAACTCCCAACATTACCAGTTAATCATACCTCCCATCATAACCAGTTAAGCATAACTCCCTCTATATCCAGTTACTCATAATTCCCACCATAACCAGCTAATAACTCTCACCATAACCAGTTTATCATAACCAGTTAATCCTAACTCCCATCATGACCAGTTTATCATCACTCCCACCATAACCAGTTAACCTTAACCAGTTTATCATAACTCCCACAGTAACCAGTTAATCATAACTCCCACCATAACCAGTTAATCATAACTCCCACCATAACCAATTAACCATAGCTCCCATCATAATCAGTTAATCATAACTCCAGTTAACCGCAACCAGTTTGGTCATAACTCCCACCATAACCAGTTAATCATAACTTCCACCATAACCAGTTCATCATAACTCTCACCATAACCAGTTTATCATAACCGGTTAATCCTGACTCCCATCATAACCAGTTAATCCCAACTCCCATCATAGCCTGTTTATCATAACCAGTTCATCATAACTCCCACCATAACCAGTTTGGTCATAACTCCGATCATAACCAGTTTGGTCATAACTCCCATCATAACCAGTTTGGTCATAACTCCCACCATAACCAGTTAACCATAACCAGATGGTCATAACTCCCACCATAACCAGTTATTCAAAACTCCCATCATAACCATTAATCATAACTCCCAACATTACCAGTTAATCATACCTCCTATCATAACCAGTTACTCATAACTCCCACCATAACCAGTGAATAACTATCACCATAACCAGTTTATCATAACCAGTTAATCCTAAATCCCATCATAACCAGTTTATCATAACCAGTTAATCATAACTCCCATCATAACCAGTTTATCATAACCAGTTAATCATAACTCCCACCATAACCAGTTAACCATAACCAGTTAATCATAACTCCCATCATAACCAGTTTATCATCACTCCCACCATAACCAGGTAACCATAACCAGTTTATCGTAACTCCTCTCATAACCAGTTAACCATAAGTTAATCATTACTCCCATCATAATCAGTTTGGTCATAACTCCCACCATGACCAACAAGTTAATCATAACTCCCACCATAACCAGTTAATCACAACTCCCATCATAACCAATTAACCATAGCTCCCATCATAATCAGTTAATCATAACTCCCACCATAACCAGTTTGGTCATAACTCCCACCATAACCAGTTTATCATAACCAGTTAATCCTAACTCCCATCATAACCAGTTAATCCTAACTCCCATCATATTCAGTTATCATAACCAGTTAACCATAACCAGTTTCTCATAACTCCTCTCATAACCAGTTTGGTCATAACTCCCATCATAACCAGTTACCCATAACCAGTTAGGTCATAACTCCCACCATAACCAGTTAATCCTAACTCCCATTATAACCAGTTAATCCTAACCAGTTAACCATAACCAGTTAAACATAACTCCCATCATAACCAGTTAACCATAACCAATTTGGTGATAACTCCCATCATACACCAGTTAACCATAACAGTTAATCATAACTCACATCATAACCAGTTTGGTCTTAACTCCCACAATAACCAGTTAACCATAACCAGTTTGGTCATAACTCCCACCATAACCAGTTAATCATAACTCTCACCATAACCAGTTTATCATAACCAGTTAATCCTAACTCCCATCATAACCAGTTTATCATAACCAGTTAATCCTAACTCCCATCAGAACCAATTAATCATAACTCCCACCATAACCAGTTAACCATAACCAGCTAATCTTAACTCCCATCATAGCCAGTTAACCATAACCAGTTTGGTCATAACTTCCATCATAACTAGTTAACCATAACAGTTAATCATAACTCCCATCATAACCAGTTAACCATAACCAGTTTGGTCATAACTCCCAACATAACCAGTTAATCATAACTCCCACCATAACCAGTTAATCCCAACTCCCATTATAACCAGTTAATTCTAACCAGTTAACCATAACCAGTTAAACATAACTCCCATCATGACCAGTTAACCATAACCAGTGTGGTCACAACTCCCACCATAACCAATTAACCATAACTTCCATCATGATCAGTTAATGATAACCAGTTTGGTCATAACTCCCACCATAACCAGTTAATCCTAACTCTCACCATAACCAGTTTATCATAACCAGTTAATCCTAACTCTCACCATAACCAGTTTATCATAACCAGTTAATCCTAACTCCCATCAGAACCAATTAATCATAACTCCCACCATAACCAGTTAACCATAACCAGCTAATCTTAACTCCCATCATAGCCAGTTAACCATAACCAGTTTGGTCATAACGTCCATCATAACTAGTTAACCATAACAGTTAATCATAACTCCCATCATAACCAGTTAACCATAACCAGTTTGGTCATAACTCCCACCATAACCAGTTAATCATAACTCCCACCATAACCAGTTAATCCCAACTCCCATTATAACCAGTTAATTCTAACCAGTTAACCATAACCAGTTAAACATAACTCCCATCATGACCAGTTAACCATAACCAGTGTGGTCACAACTCCCACCATAACCAATTAACCATAACTTCCATCATGATCAGTTAATGATAACCAGTTTGGTCATAACTCCCACCATAACCAGTTAATCATAACTCTCACCATAACCAGTTTATCATAACCAGTTAATCCTAACTCTCACCATAACCAGTTTATCATAACCAGTTAATCCTAACTCCCATCAGAACCAATTAATCATAACTCCCACCATAACCAGTTAACCATAACCAGCTAATCTTAACTCCCATCATAGCCAGTTAACCATAACCAGTTTGGTCATAACGTCCATCATAACTAGTTAACCATAACAGTTAATCATAACTCCCATCATAACCAGTTAACCATAACCAGTTTGGTCATAACTCCCACCATAACCAGTTAATCATAACTCCCACCATAACCAGTTAATCCCAACTCCCATTATAACCAGTTAATTCTAACCAGTTAACCATAACCAGTTAAACATAACTCCCATCATGACCAGTTAACCATAACCAGTTTGGTCACAACTCCCACCATAACCAATTAACCACAACGTCCATCATAATCAGTTAATGATAACCAGTTTGGTCATAACTCCTACCATAGCCAGTTCATCATAACTCTCACCATAACCAGTTTATCATAACCAGTTAATCCTAACTCCCACCATAACCAGTTTATCATAACCAGTTAATCCTAACTCCCATCAGAACCAATTAATCATAACTCCCACCATAACCAGTTAACCATAACCAGTTAATCTTAACTCCCACCATAGCCAGTTAACCATAACCAGTTTATCATAACCAGTTAATCATAACTCCCATCATAACCAGTTTATCATAACCAGTTATTCCGAACTCCCATCATAGCGAGTTTATCATAACTACCACCATAACCAGTTAACCATAACCAGTTTATCTTAACTCCCACCTTGACCAGTTAACCATAACCAGTTTATCATAACTCCCAACATAACCAGCTAACCATAACCAGTTTATCATAACTCCTACTATAACCAGTTAACCATAACCAGTTAATCATAACTCCCATCATAACCAGTTAATGATAACTCCCACCATAACCTCCTGAATCTCAGTTTTTATCCTAAAGCAGATTTAAAACCATCAGAAAAATCTCCACTAACAGACGAAACATGTTTAAAAGCTAAAGATCCTTCCAAAGACCCTGATCCCGTCAATGGTTCTGACCTGACAGCAGCGGTACCATTAAAGGTTCTGAGAAGGTTTGACGGCAGCAGCTAAACAAAAGATTCAAAAGTAAAGAACAAACTGGAATAAAAACAGGTGAAGCAGCAGGAAGTGCTGCTTTTACTTTGAAAGGGTGAACAGGAAGCTGTGAGGGTGGGTGGGGCTGCAGCCAAACTGAAATAAAACACGCCTACACACCTGCAGAACCTCCAGGTTCTGGGTCAGAACCAGAACATGCGGCAGGCCTGAACTCTGGTTCAGTTGTGATTTTCCTCTCAGCCACCAGGGGGAGACAATCCAGTGAGGGTGGGTAGATGGGACCACAGGTGAGACGGCTCACCTGGCTGTGACAGACCTTTTTCACACTTCCTGGAAGGAGGAAATGTGCCAGTGGCGGGGAAACGAGTAATAGCAGCGTTACTGCAGCATGCCGGGCTGTTTTCCTCATGCGCTGAAGCAGCTTCCATCCTCTATCCACACAGCTGTCTGTGGAGGGGTCACTAACGGAGAAGTACTTATGTCTGCAGCAGACATTTCACGGCTAAGGATTACGCGTTAGCAGTCTTCGGTACCAAGTGTGTTCTTCTAGAGCAGCGTCACCCCAGGCTGTGCAGCACAGGACTTGGAGAACCAGGAGCTACAGAAGGCCAGACCATGATGATGCTGTGCTAGCCCGGTTAGCCCTGCAGGCGAGCAGCAGACTGCTAACATGTAAGCTCCTGTTTGTGTTCATGACAGCTGGTGCTGAACTCCGTTAGCTTAGAGCTGCCACGTCATCCGTTTATCGTTTTCACGTCCACAGACAGAAATGTATCAGCTGTACGACATAAATACACTTTACTGCAGATTCATTACACATGTGTATGTTAACATGATATTTTATTGTTTCAAAGTGAATTTTTATTATGGGAACATGAAAATGATATAGTTAGAACAAATATCGCTGTAATTCTTTCGTGGGTGGCAGATCTACGTTCTGAATCACATAGCTGTGTCTTCCGTACATTGGGCTAATGTAAAAGTGCAGATACGATCCGTGCTGACTCGTGTCTGAACTATTGAAGAACGAGATTTCCCATCGATGACGCAATTACGCTTTTTGGTTTCAGCTTCGGCTCATTTCCAAAGATCCCAGACTTGAATTATGGCATTATCTGTTCTCTGATTGGCTGCCTGCAGAGGTGTGAGGCGTGTATTTTGTTTGTTTTAAACCAATAAAAACCAGCATAGTGGAGGAGGGGGCGGGGCTACAACTACTTGCCTGATTGGTTAATTTCACATCTGTTACTGACCTGGAATAGGATTAGAAGCAGAGAACGACTCAGAGTCACTCCCACATGGGAACATGCTGGCTGACATGTTTACCTTCAGCACCTGATGATGATGATGATGATGATGATGAAGGTGTGCCGGTACCGTACCTGAGCATCGATGATCTTCTGCTTGGCTTCAATCACCGCCTGCATCTCAGCGTGGTCCCTCTTTAGCTCCTCCTCCACCGCCATTAGCCTGTGCAGACACAAGTCTGGGTTGTTTGGGTTCTGGTTCTGGTGAAACTATTGAGGTCGGGAACCCAGTTCATGGGTCTCTATTAAAACTGGATCACAACAGAACCTGCTTCATTTAGTTCAACAGAACTTCAGACCAACCGACAGAAGCTTCTGGTTCTGTGACTAAACTAGTCTCACCAACCAGAACCTCCAGATGTTGCAGACTGTTCATGTGTTTATTTATGAAGCACCTTATCAGCTGACCACGGTGCTGAACACAAGCATAAAACTCACAACAGGAACTAAAATAACGCTGTGTGTCATTAACAAAGAGATAAAAACAAAACAACCATAAAAACATTAAAAGAATGTGGAAGAAAAACTGACTGTTAACATGACAACTGAAAAAAAGTTCCTCTACCTGCAGATGATGCTCTTCATCTGGCTATCCTTCTCCTCCTGCTGCCTCCTCAGGCGCTCCTCGCTGTCCTCCAGGCGGTTCTTGTACTCCAGCAACAGCTTCTGCATCTGCTGCTCCTGGACGAGGAGGCGTCGTTCGTACTCCTCCAGACGACGACCTGACATCCGCAGGCGCTCCGTCAGCCGGGAGATCTCCAGCTCATACTGCAGGACAGGAGAGCCCGCATTAGGAGGATCTAAACACATCGCAGCCTCTCCATGACAACAGACATGGCTCCAGGTTCAGAGGAACAATCCTGCATGATCCTCTGGATTTACATCGAGGGATAGACGTCTTTTTCTCACCAGGTGAGAAAAATGCAAAAAAAAAATTCAGGGAGAATGGACCTCCAGATGGAATTAAAATTATTTACACCAACCAGAAATAAAAGTGAGAACTAAAACGCGTTAGATATGTGAGACATGTAAGACAATGGAGATGTGTTGAACTCTTAACTGATTCTTTGGAAAAACTTTACAGGACGAAAACTTTGAAGACAGGATTTTGTCCATAACGCCCACCCTTGGTGTGACGCACCTGTCCAGCATCGTTTCTGCGTACATGTCTCTACTCACATTCTTGTGACACGCCATCAACGACAGCCCCAGTACTGTTCCAATCCTAAGTACGCATCATGGATAGTTCGCTCAAAGTTCCAGGATGTGTTCTGGCTCTGCACACTGAGTTGAGGATGCATTGGTGCACCCTTCTGCAGAAATGGGACAGCAAATGTCCCGCACTTGAGTAGCACCTTTCAGAGTTAGACTCCACACTTCAGTGTATCAATCACTCATTCACACACTGATGGTGATGAGCTACCATGCAGCCACAGCTGCCCTGGGGCTCGCTGACAGAGGCGCCACCGGTCCGTCCGACCACCACCAGCAGGCAAGGCCGGTTAAGTGTCTTGCCCAAGGACACAACAGCAGAATTCTCTGTCTGGAGCTGGGATCGAACCTGCAACCTTCTGATTACTGGACAACCCGCTCTACCTGCTGAGCTGCTGCTGCCCCTAACGCATTGCTAACTTGCTAGCCCACTTTCAAAATAAAAGCAGTGGTGCCTTAAATAGGCATTTGACGAAAACAGGGAAATGTTGGAATTTTCACCCTCTTGGACCATCCTCGGTAGAAGAGACTTTCTGACGAACTAGCCAAGAACATACTAGCATCGCTGGGTATTGAGAGATGGCCCAGGTGTTGTTTACCTTCTCAGTGTTCCTGCCCTCTTTCTGGCTCCTCTCTCTTCTCTCCTCCTCCTCCTCCTCGTACTGTCCGTTGCTGAGAACCCACGCCGCCGTCCGCTCTACAGGAGACATGGCTACTGCCTCCATCGGTGTCCCTGCCTGCACACACACCATCATCACTGACTCATCAGGACCAGTGAGAAAGCTAATTTCTCAGCATACCTGTGTGAACTGCTTGCTGGAGCTCCTGGGGGGCGGAGTCTGATCCTCTGCCAAGCAGGCAGCCTGCTGGCGGTTTGTGGGCGTCGGCTCTGTGTTGGCACTGCTGCTGCTGTGCAGCGAGGTGCTCTGAGGCAGCAACCGTGGCGTTCTGGCTCCACCTCCTCTGCTCTGCTGCTCCACCTTGATTATGTGGGCAGTGCCCGCTGTTGTGCTCTGGTGGGGGATGGCGACTACAGTCGCGACACCCAGAGGAAGGTCAGGCGGTGCGTGGCGGCGAGGCGTAGAGCACTCCTCGCTCTGCCTACTGCCTGTCTCATCCAGGCTGCTGTTGGACACTGCTTGACCTTTGCCCCCCACCTGGCTGCCCAGGTCATCGGAGTTGCTGTGGCTGTTGTGCGAGCTCTCGGAGCTCAGGTTCTCCGAGCTGGAGTCCTTCCGCAGTGAGTGGCTGGAGTGTGTGGACAGGCTGTGGGCGGGGTTACTGAGATGGTAGACTGGGTTTTGGAAGGACAGCGGCTGCAGGCTACGTTGCTGGCTGAGGGACGGGTGCAGTGGACGTCTCACCTGTGGCGCGCTCTGAGGCTGATTGTCTCTGGGCGGGGCTTTGCCCAGGTGTGGTGCTGGCTGAGGCGTGACGGGGTTGGAGTGGGCATAAGTCACTGGGGGAAGAGCATGCCCCATGGAGGCCTGGGAATCCACCCTGCTGAGTCGGGGCGGGGCCTCATGGTGCAGCAGTGGCCCAGCAGGGTTGTGAAGGCTCTGAGAATCCTGCAGGTCTACCAGAGAGATGCTGCGGCCGTTAGGCAGCAGGACATCTCCGCCCTCCTGGTCTGAGATGCTGCTCCGGACCGACGGATGCTGCTGAGCAAGCAGGGGGCGCTGGCTCCGGGAGTAGCCCTCCAAGACATCGCTGACCGGAGACTGGAGGCTCTGGACCTCACCCCGGCTGCAGGACAAGATGAACAATTAGAGACCAATGCAGTCGTTACATCAGCTGAATCCTCGGGGTCCAGTTCTGGTTCCTCTGCTAAGCTGTGGACTTACACTCTACCGCCCCCTTCTGGCCTAAACTCAGAGCTGTAAGGAATCTTGACCTAAAACCCTGGAAATTCCCAGAATATTCAAGTAGGAGGGCAAACCTACTCCCTCTGGAGTTCCTTAAAAGGTGGTTCTCTTCAGATTTAGATTATTTTTAAGGAACAGAACAGTTTGTGCAGAATGAAGCCCACGCTCATGCGCTTTTACTTTGGAAGAATTTAATCAGGTGTGAATCAGCTGATTGGTTACCTGTCTACAGGGTCCTCAAAGATCCGCTGCAGCCCGGACGACACGCTGCCACTGATGTTGGGTGTGGAGCCGTTGTCCTGGAAACGTCGCAGCTGCTGCTGGACCGGCGTCGGAGCAGCCAGGCAACGAGAAATATCTCCCAGAATCTGCGGCAGTGGGCCCAGCTTGGCTACGGTGGCCTGCAGGAAGGAATTTTCACCCTGTTGATGTTGTGTGCGTGCGTGGGCGGGGTGGGGGTGTGGAATGGAATGAAGCATTGGAGGGGGCAGCAAACATGGTGGCAGGAAACAGGAAGTGAACAAAAGGAGGAAGAAGAGGAAAAACCATGAGGAGAATTAATGGAACCAAAACAAACGAGAACGTCATGCTTCTCCTGAACAGAACAAGAACACAGCAGAGCCATGCTGATGGAGGGGGTGGGGGGGTGTCATGCTGTTTGGTGTTAATGAGGTCATCTCAAACACACACATAAACATACCAGGGTCTCTGAGGCCGTGCACGCCTCTCGAAGTTGAACATAACACAGTTCTATCAAAGGCTCTTATTTTGAAGAACAGCAGGAAGTAACAGAGAAAAACTGAACCTCAAGCGTCTGGTTTTTATTTTTAAATTGACTAAATAAATAAATCTACAAAACCAATCCCAACGGAGCCAATAGAGTCGGGTTCTGAAAGAGTAGCAGCTTTGGACCTTTATCTGGTTCCGACTGCTCCGGTTCTTGAGAGCCCAATCCTGGCCCTAGAGCGCCGGTATCCAGCAGGTTTTAGTTCCAACCCTTCGGGCGCATTTGCCGCCGTTTCTTACCTTGCCTGGTAAAAAACACATTAGCTGTGTTTTTACCGTCATTTCTACATCCTCCATGTCCCAAACAAAGCTCGTCAGATCCGTACACCCTGCTCCCGCGCTGTCTTTCTGGCTGGATGAGTGCATTTCTTCAGAGTCAATATCCTGCTTCATCATCAGAGTCAGTCATGACCAGACAAAGAGATCAGTCAACAAAGACCAGACCTGCTAGCATGTGGAAGTTCTATCCCTCTAATAGCCGCCCTCTTCGTGCTGCGCTCGTCTCCTCCTCTCGTCCTCTCCCTGACCAGGAACCTCTCGGCGGGAGACTAAAACCCTAAAAACTCAGGAACTTTCAATATAAACACACCCAGAAGTGTTGCTCAGCCTGAAGTTACACATCTCCACTATCTTCTGGTGCAAAGTAGTAGCTTTATATGGGATCATATTTGTAGCTGTGGCTCGTTTGTCAGCAATGACGCGTGTCGCAATATTGTGACATTGGTGTCTAAAGGGTTAACCCTGTGTCAACACACCTGATTTCAATCAGCAGTGATTAACAGGCTTCTGCAGCATCTGATGAGCTGCTACACAGGTGTGTTGGAGCAGAGAAACCACTAAAACGTGCTGACACCGGCCCTCCAAGACCAGGATTGGACACCCTGGGTTTAGACCATTCAGGTTCTTTATCTGCTCAACAGAAGAACACGAGGATGGGATAAACCCACAGAGCGGAGAACATGAACAGAACCGGCTTGGTTCGACTGGACGTGTTCCTGAGCAGGTCCTGGTTTGAGGTCAGGGTTCTCAGGTATTGGGGAGGACTTCTTGATCTCAGAACCCACCTCCATCAGTGCTGGGATGTCCAGCTGGATCACCTGCACACTCTTAGTTCTCACGTGCACAGACTCTGAACCAATCACCTGGAGGTTACCACACACACACACACACACACACACACACACACACACACACACACACACACACACACACACACACACACACACACACACACACACACACACACACACACACACACACACACACACACACCTTGTCCAGATGGGACACCACCTCCCACAGCAGGGCGTGGAGCACTGACAGCTCGCGGCCGAGGTCGATGTAACCCTCGAATCCCGGCGTGTTGGACAGAGTTTCTGGGTTGGAGATCTCTGACAGGAAACGCATCATTGCCGCCCACTCGTGCTCTAGAAAGTCATTCATGAAGGCCATGTACTCCTCCTTGTTCCCAAACCTGCGGAGAGCACCGGCTGGGTTTCAGTGAGCGCTTGTGGAGAACCTGGGAAAGGGTCGTAGCGCAGACACTCACTTGGTGAAGTTAGCCAGGTTCTGGATGACTTTGGCGATGAGCGTGAGCGTCCTGGAGGTGCGGTCGTCGGGATACTCCTGCATCAGGCTGAAGAGAGACGGAGACATGATGGCAGGGCAGAGGAACCTCAGGAAGAGCGAAGCGCTGATCAGACGCTTGCTGATGTCCTGCTGGTGGCCACGGGACACACACTGCTGCTTCCAGGATGAAAACACCTCCTTCAGCTCCCGAGGAAACACGCTAAGGGAGAAAAAACACGTTAGCAGCACAGTAACATGCCCATGTAGATGGGACATATTTGTCTCAGAAGAGCAACGTGGAACATGCGTAAACATGAGAAAGTTCGTCCTGATGTTTGTTCATCAATCACTTACAGATTTACACTTCCTGATTACTGCCTTCTTACCTTTTCTGATTGGTTGACTGACTCAGAAAACCAAATTGAAGCAGCCAATCATGTGAGACTTTGAAGTTCCTAGCGCTGCTACAGAATTGTTAACCTGAGAAAACCAAAATGCTGTTTCTAGAGTGTGCATGTGAACACACCAGTAGGAGTTGATGATCTTGCAGAGGGCCAGCTCGCAGCACATCTTCAGGTTACTCTGATGTTCAGGTAGGTCACTGCTGGAGCATCTGCTAGGATCCACCTCACAGTTCTCGTCAGACTCATACAGGGCCTTGATGAACTCCCCTACACGCACGCACACACACACGCACACGCGCACACACACACACACACACACACACAGTTGGAGCATCTGGCTGAGCTCCACGGCTGTGACTCTAACCCAGATCCAGATGTTTTAAAGCTTACCAAGAGCATCATGAAGGTACTTCTGTCCCACCAGCTTCAGATACTCCTCGATGGACTTTGTTGCCAGCGTGTTCTCCCTGAAGATCAGAACATCATGGTCGGCACATCGGTCCACCTCTGACATCACCAGGTCCGTCAGGAAGTCCTGGAGAAGGATCAGGATCAGAAGATAAAGCAGTAATTATTCCAAACCAGCATCCTCAGACCATCCACCTGACTGTGGGCTCCAAGTTGCTTCTTTAACCCTCCCACTGTCCTAATGGGTGTGACCCCGCGAGGAAAGTTGACCATTGAGCAGGATTCATGGTTTTATCCCTTGGGTTCAGGTGGCAGGGGTGAGGAGTGAGCACCCCTTCACCCCTGCCACCTGGACCTCAAGGGATAAACCATGAATCCTGCTCAATGGTCAACTTTCCTCGCAGACACACACACACACACACACACACACACACACACACACACACACGAGTTTTGATTAAGACTGTCTCAAATTTTATTTAATGTCTTTAATAATAAATTCATCAGAAATATTTAAATTTCCGTTTCCATCCAAATAATCAGAATCAGAAAAACATCTATCAATGGGGTTTACTACGGCCAGCAGATGGCGCCATATCTCCACTGATTAGAACAGGTCCCAATCAGCTGGTTCCCCAATAGAACCAGAACCAGGTGAATCAGTTATGGTGCATACACATTAGCGTTGGCACGGCCCCAAAATGTAACGAACGGCACCGGAATTTGGTTTCACACACAGGTCAGATTTGCGTTTTTGGTGCCAAGGCGACTCTTTTTCTCAGACCTTCTCCCCAGCGGTCACGTCTACCGCCTCTGATCTGCGAGAAGAATGAGCCAGAGGGGGGGCTCCTGCATGCACGATTCATCTTCATGCTGCTGAGTAAAGTTCTGTCTGTAGCGCTGTGTGTGTGTGTGTGTGTGTGTGTGTGTGTGTGTGTGTGTGTGTGTGTGTGTGTGTGTGTGTGTGTGTGTGTGTGTGTGTGTGTGTGTGTGTGTGTGTGTGTGTGTGTGTGTGTGTGTGTGTGTGTGTGTGTGTGTGTGTGTGTGTGTGTGTGTGTGTGTGTCACGACACACACAGTAAATTCATAAAATAATGTGGTTCAGAGTCTTCAAAAGCAACACAGCTCATGTTCGCCTTTGTTTACCTTATGGAGCTGACTTTCCCGCGCGTATTAAACTCCGCCCACAGGCACGGGGATTTCCGCATTCCTGAGAAGTCCCTCAGGAGATGTGGGTTCTACAATTTGGGCTCTACAGGTTTGGGTTCTAGAGCAGCTGCAGATGTGGGATCTAGAGCGGATACGGACATGGGTTCTAAAACTACAACCACAACCGTTTAGATGATAAGCAAAGCCATTCTAAATATTAATAAATGAAGATCCAATAATACTTGAACTTTATTGCAGACGAGCATCTGGCCCTCGTGGTGTCTGCTGGTAAACTCCAGCCCTTGAATAAATTTAGTCGAAGACCCGTGAGCTAGAGGAACATGTCCTGAGACATTAAGAACAACCCAGTTTAGATTCTGAGCGGGTTCTGACCTTGGCCCGGCCCGTGCTCTGCAGGATGTGGACCAGGGCACACGCCATCTCCTCCTTGTTCTTGACGCTGATGACAGGCTCTAGAACCGAGCACAGCATGGTGTAGTTGTTGGTGACGAACTCGGCGAACTCCTTGTACTGCTCCATGGGCAGGATGGAGATGACCTGGAAGCGGGACTTGATCCGGATCGATGGTCCGCCTCCTTTGGTCTTGCTTGCGGTTGGAGTGCTGACCGGGTACCACTTCTCAACAAACTGCCGGCCCGTAATGCTGGACACTGGGATGTTGACCAGGCCCACGTAGTTGTTCTTGTCCTTCTTCTTCCTCTTGTCCACGTCGCGGTAGATGTGCACGGTGACGCTGCGCACGGCGGGCAGGCTGGAGAAGTCGAAGTACTCGCCCCAGAACAGGCTGTCGTGTCGAGTCTTACTGGTGGTGCGAGCGTACAGAACGTCGTCCAGACACAACTCACAGAAGTACTTCTTCTTGGGGGGCAGGTCTTTGGCCTCAATGATCCAGAGACGGAGGAGGTTCTCCGCCCGCCGGCAGTTGTCCTGGAAACACAACATATGTAGTAACTGCCTTCTGTAATTCTGTACGTGACATGTCCAAGTAGCAGAAACATCTGTAACTGTGACTCCTGCTGCCTCCTGGCTAGGACGGCCCTGAAAATGAGGTTTTTAATCTCAACGGGACCTTCCTGGTTAAATAATGAAAATAAAACATCCAATCAGAACCGCCCAAAAACATAGATCAGTCAGAACAGGGAGTCACTAAACAATCAGCTGATTGCACTGCCAGCTTCTAGAACCAGCCGCTCTAACGTGACAGAACCTCACCTTGTTGGGCTGGACGGTTCTCCGGAGGTTCTCCATCCACTTGTCTCTCTCTGAGGCAGACGTGCAGCTGAAACACTTGCTGCCTCCTGAATACGTCACCTGAGACAGAAGAGTCACTGTCAGAAACACCTGGTGAGTCTTCAGAACCAGTCTGAACCAGTCTGAAACTTCAGAACCAGTCTTAGCCCTCAAAACCGGACAGGAGGAGGTGAAGTGTCGGCAGGTGCATCACCTCGAAACAGAACTCCTGGCCCAGAACGCTGCTGTGGAGAGGTTTGATGTATACATCCTCCTCCATGCTCAGGTCTAGAGCCTCCACAGCGCTGCCCGGACTCAGGAGGGATTCATGGGAGCTGGACTCCTTCAGCTTGGGAAGCCCGCGAGATCTGAAGGAGAAAGCAAACATGTGGATTGATCAGGGATGTGGGGCTGAGCGGAGGAACATCAACGCATCATCCTGCTGTCAGAACCAGGAGAGCTGAAATACCTACGATAAACAACCACAGAGCCAGGTGAGGGGCGGTTCCCAGAGCATCACTCCCCCTCCCTCCCCCAGACTCCCGACCCTCCGGCAGACAGCAGGAGCTCCGGCAGCGAGCGGAGCATCATCTTCACAAAGAAAAACCAAGTCCTGGGACATCAGATCACCTGCTGGGTCCTCAGAGAGGGTTACCGTGGTAACCATCACTGGGGGAGGGCCGGTGCTAGGCAGCAGGGAGTGACGCAGCAAGGAGCAAGGCAGGAGTTAACTATAGAGCAGCCTCAGAAGGCAGAGGTTTGAACCCAGGTGAGGTCATGTGACACGACGCTTCTCTACAGCAGCAGCTCTGACACCTGACCAGTGTTCTGATGTTGGTCAGGCGTTCCAGAAGCATCTGTGACCCCTTTACGGAAAACCCATTAGAAGTCCTGATGGGGGGCTCCTGGGTCGGGTTTCCTCACTGAGCTCAGCGGTTCTGACCCAAACAATCTGGACTAAAGAGCAAAAACACAATCTGAGAGAAACGGCACACAGGAAGTTTCAGGAAGAGCTGGACAGAAACCTGCATATCTCCTTTTTGAAGTGGCAAAGACAAAGTTGTTCACTAATTTATAGGAAGCTGCGTCCTGACCAATCAAAAGCTTGCATTCTCCATCTCTCTTAAAAGATGGGAAAAAATTGGAGCGTGTCTCCATCTTCCTGTGTGAGCACGTCAGAGGGCTCTTGCGTCGACACATGATGGTGTTGCGTGTGTCCAACGCAGAAGTATAAATTAGGCTCGAGCCTGCATGATGTGCATCAGTTCATCTACACCCTAAAGCCTCTGGAAGGTGTAAAGCAGCTGCCTGTCTCTGAAAACCTCCTCCCCCTGGACGCCTGCAGAGAGGTTCCTGCTGCCTCTTTGGGAAGCAGCGCAGGCTCAACTGAAGCATTAACAATGTCTTCATAAAAATATAGAAATGTATATCAGCCTTTTGTTGGCCTGGCGCTGGAAGGGAAACACGCTCCGTCTCCCCTCCTGTCTTCATCCTGGTGGGGAACCTGGATCTGGCTCTGCCAGGGTCACATGACCGCAGCTACATGCTGCTGTTCAGGAAGCTTTTGACCTGGTGACTTTGGAGCACTGCAGTGATCCAGGAATCATTTCACGTGCGGAATGTGAGATTAGCTTAGCAACGTGTCTGTGACCTGAAAAAAGTAAGGAACCAGAGATCCATTACGTGCATCTTAACACATTCACTGCCAACGACGAATAAAGTCGTCATTTGCATTTTTTTACAGTGTGGGCGTCGGAACGAGCCCCCGCACTGAGAGAACAAATATCTCAGCTCTAAAGCCGATCTTCATCCACATACGTCACACGTGATCAGGAAGCAGAACATCCATGTGTTAGGAGATCGTTTTGGGCTGCTGCTGTAAAAGAAGTGAGGCGCGAACCGGAAAGGCATCTGCCAATCACAATTCGACAACAAATTATGAAAGAACGGATAACGCTCGAAACGCGCTGATTCTTCCTGATGTAAGAGGTGAGTCTCCGCTTTGTTTTGGCGTCGACATCATCCTAGCGGGCAACGTTCTGTCACTCTTAAAAATACAGTAAAAACTGTGAGAAACGCTGGCAGCTAAGGGCACAGATCAGGAAACGGCTGGTAGCGAATGAGTTAATAAAAACCAAAACCAGGTCTAGAGCAGTCCTGCTGTCATCCTCAGAGCTGAATGCTACCACAGAACCTGCTGCTGATCTTCTAAACAACCCTGCATAGTCCATTATAGAAGATAAATTCTAATAAAGTTATTTAATTAGCATCAAACTGTCTGTTCTGATGACACTCATACAACCAGTACCTGTCTGTGTCGGTGGGTCGCAGCGACGGCAGTCTGAAGCTGGTGTTCCGGTCTAGTTTGGTCTGACTCCTCGTCCTCTTGATGGAGCCTTTGAGACGTTTACTGAAAAATCCCTGAAAGACAAGGAGCAGGAGGTCAGGGACGGACTAGAACTCATTCATCAGCTATTGTAGGGCCAGGTATATGTCCACCAGGAGGCACCACAGCAGAGGTCATGAGGTCAGTGTCTGCAGCGCCATGTGGAGGTCCATCAGAACCAGAACCATCAGCTGATAGACCCTGTGTGTGTGTGTGTGTGTGTGTGTGTGTGTGTGTGTGTGTGTGTGTGTGTGTGTGTGTGTGTGTGTGTGTGTGTGTGTGTTGCCACCATGACAGGCTGCAGCTGCGGTCAGCCGCCTGGACAATGGAACATGGTGCACTTGAACTCTATGTCTCCCGCGTCCCTTGGGATGTGTTTGAATGCGTCAGAGGTGGGAATTGAAGCGTCCTCTGACAGGAGACCACCAGATGTTCCCATCAGACCATCACAATACATTTAGGCCTGCTAGTATACAAACCCAAGCTCAGCGCTTCTCAGAGTGTTAGAAAGTCCAACCCCTCTCCAGGAAACTGGTTGTGGAGAACAGAGCCGAGTGTTCAGCTCTTTACTTGTTTAGGGACAAGCGTTATGCATTTAACAAATACCAAACACAACAACATTTATAGCTTAAGCTGGTTCACAATGTCTGTCCCTAGCAGGTCACTGATCCAATAAGAACACAACACAGATTATAAAACAACTAATTAGATGAGAGCATAAAATACATCATATCAGCACATCTAGTTACTTTAAAGATCCTACAGCTACAATCTGACTAGCAGTCATGACTACATGGCTGATCCTTCTTCAGGAACTGCTTCAGCTTTGGCCTATCTGGGTTCAGTTTAAGCTCTGCTGGAAGACAACTCCACATTTTAACTCCACATACAGAGACGGCCGTTTTCTGAGATGTTTTACACAGAGGAACCTCACAACTCCCACTAGCCGTTCCACGACTACTGATCCTGGTTTGAACCTCACAATTCCCACTAGCTGCAGCTTAGATTAGTTTAACTGCTGTTCTCAAGGCCAGCTGAGCTGTGGAGGTGAGTCCAACTACATCGAGCCAGAACCTCTCTCTCTCTCTCTCACACACACACACACACACACACACACACACACACACACACACACACACACACACACACACACACACACACACACACACACACACACACACACACACACACACACACACACACACACACACACACACACACACACACACACACACACACACACACACACACACACACACACACCTGATGAACTCCATTCTCCTGGTTCTAATCCGACCCGGTTCTGAGCTCCTGCCGGCTGGGAGGAGAAGGCCTCTGAAGTCGGTCGGAGTCTAAACGTACCTGAGACCTCCAGCACTCCTCTGCTGCTGATAAACATCACGTCACAGCTGAAGTTGCTGGTCGTTCAGTGTGTGCGGTGCTCGACCAGAGGCGGCAGGGCTTTCCCGGTCTGGCCCCCACCTTCCATCACAGATCAGACGAGCACCCTCTCTCCCGGTTTTACACCATGGCGTTCCACTAGCCTTCCTTTAGTTGTTCTTATCTAGTCTTTTTACTAATCTTTATTGCTTTAATCCATTTTGTTTAATTGTAGTCACTGCAAGGTTGCTGCCATTTTACTCTTACATCTTTGTTGTGTGTACGGCGCTTTGGTTTATCTCTCATCGATGGAAAGTGCTTTATAAATAAAGATGATGATGATGATGATGTCTGCTGGACAACGTTTGACGTAAGACAGGTATGGAAAAGAAGTGTGCAGGATGCTAACATCAGCTTTCCTATTCGTCTGTGAGGGATGATGTCACAGCTGAGTCGGCAGGAGCCACCAGCTACCAGCTCAGGTGAAGCATCACAGGTAAGTGAGTAACATTTACGGTCCTATTCTAAATAGTCAAACATCGGCTCAGTTCGGATCAACAGTACACCGTGGTCGGGCCACACAACAAAGGCTGGAGCTAGGTGTTAAATAAAAATAAACTTAAAAATAAAATACGCACCAATGCTTATGTAATGTCCAGTAATGGTCAGTTTTAAGTACAGTTTGACCCTTCAATATCTGGTCGACATGGAGACAGGAGTCTGCATGTCTGCATGTCCGGAGCCTGCATTCCATCAGCTGGAGTTCAGAGCCTCTCTGCAGCTCTGAACACATGATAACAAAGTGTCAACAATACTGTTCCCTTCCCAAGGCCCCTGTGCCAAGCCTGCCTCGTTATCTAGGCCGGACTGGACTGTTAATAGGAGGACTGCTTCTGCTTATATGTGTTGATCATTCATGAAATAAAATTAACAAATGTTATATGGATATTAATAAGGTTTCATTAATCTGTGCTATAATCAATAAGTTTGATTGATCTGTACTTGAATTACTGAAAGTATGAAATGAATTATTACATTGAAAGATTTATATATGGATCAGTAATGTTTGATATGACAAGGCCATCATCTTCTACACTGACACAAGGTTCACAAGGACAAATTAAAAGTCAAGTTAAACCCATGACACCTAGATTTTCTTTACCCCATGTAACGTGAGGAAATATGGGTTTTCTATCACAAAGGTGGTGTTGGACTCAGCTGTGTCAAAGCTGGGTCGCTGAGAACTTTCACCCACAGATTAAGACCTGAACGCCAGCGAGTCTGGGAGGAAACCATAACATCTGCCACCTGCAGTCTACCAGAAGATGTGTTTACATGAGTTGTACCCAGACCAAGTCAAAACATAAAGTTTAAACTTCTTTTTCTTGATTTTAATGTTAAAGTAACCATTATCATTTTGCTCATTATAAATGTGATTAATCAAATGAATGACTATTTAGCTTTGGGGTAATTATAATGGTTTAATGAATCCATTCTTAAATAATGTTGAGAATGTTTGTTACTGACCTTCACACACACTCAAGCACAAACATTCACACACATCCACACACACCTGCTCACAGTAAACTCCAGACACATTTGATGACGCACGTTTGCTTTGAGAAGAGAAAGGTTTTTGGTAAGCTTCAGTCTTTTTGATTCAGTTCGTGTTGGACAACGAGAGAGAGCAGACCTGAAAACCAAAGGGGGGGCAGAGCCTGTTGGCTCGTTCTTCCCCCCTTCTCTCGCGCTGTTTCTGCCACGCCAGGCAGAATAGCTGAACCGCAACTTCTAACGCAGACTCATTACCGAGTCTTTTGATTTCTGAGTGAATTAACTTAAGAAAGCGCGTCGACAAAACGCTCTACCATCCACGTGTACCGAGGGACAACTCTGGACCGGTTCGCAGCGCATCTTTGTCTTCTTTGCCAGCCAAGGTGCCCTGGATGAAACATCCTAAGGTGACGTCCCGGGTCCAACAGAGGGTCCGATTTTCGGTGAGGCAAAACACGACAGATAGCGTTTTGATGCATCTTTTCCAACTAAAAGCCTAAGTTTATTCAAACCATCACTTCACTCAGACACCTGTTTCTTCGTGAAGCAAAATCAGATGCACTCACGCACCCATCCCAGCTCATATTACTCTCACCATCACAACATTCTCAATCTTCATAAATTCATCAGAAGGTCTATTTGAGCCAGAACAGCATATCAACTGTTAAAGAGATTGTCCCACAAAGTGACTAATGTTGATTGTATTTCCTGTTTGTCAATTTCAAAATCATTAGTTTAATTTGAAGAATTAAAACTTTTAAACGTCAAACTGGTTTCCTCATTGAACTGAAACACAGACACTCAGATATTATCGGCAGTTTATGGATGAAAACAACCTTTGAGTCTTCTGAACAATATAAAATTTGGTTATTGATTTATTAAAATTAATATTCCGAATTAATACGTAGCATGGTTCCTCTTTCATAAAAGAGCATAAATCCATAACGCTACACCCAGATCAGAGCATCCGTTATCTCAAGAAGGCGCGTGTTTTGAGGTTGTCTTGGTAATATCTTCTTACATGGCCAATTCTGATTTGTTAGAAAATCATAAAATGAGAATATTAGAACAGAATCACTCTGGTGACTCAGCAGTCGGAGTCAGAGTCACATTCCAGCTTTCCATCACTCAGCATTCAGTTCTAGAGGAAGCTACGGAAACTGCCGTCTGTAGGGAAGTCTCTTTAACCCAGAAGCAACCTTTGACACGCTGTCAAGGTTGCTGCAAAGCTGACACAGCAAACGGTTCCTGCAGAACAAAGCTGATATTGTTCCAGCTCCTTAAGAGTCCCCTGAGACGCAAACGGTTTCATTCATCTGTTGTGACCCAGAAAACATCTCTGGACTGAAGGGTCGGTGCTACGGTATTCTACAACCTCTGTGCCAGAGGTCATCCGACCTCTCTGACCGTCAGATCCACGAAGAGAGTCTTCCAAACGCAGATAGCGTCTGATGCCTTTTGATAAAAATCAACTTCATAGCTTAACGCAAACCAAATTCTTTTACACACAGCTTTCCTAGATATGGAAGTTCTGATACCATCATATTCACACATAGGCACCATACATCACATCTCCTCCATCTAGATCCATGCATCACAGTAAATATTAGTTAACCTGTCATGTTTTAATTGTTTGGAAAATAAATTCTTACTTTTACAAACCTGACTCTTTTCTGAATCAAGACAAAGTGTTTACAATCCTTGAATAAACAAAGAATCCTAGAATCTTCTGATTAAACATTCAAAGACCAAGCAGGTTGATATTCTATATTTATATAGAGTATCACAGCTTATTAGTCATAAGTAGAGGTAATATATTAAGCTCTTAAAGCACTCAATTTACCAACTCCTACAGCTTATGAAACTGGCAGTTCAAATAGAAGCTGCTTTCACTAGTAACTCGTCCGGGTCGGGGCTTTTCTAAATGGAAGGAAATTTGGTTATCCTAGACTAGGACACCCTTATGAGAAAGGGATTTCAGTCCAAGATGACCAGACTTCCTCCCATTTAGAAGAGCCCTGACCCGGACGAGCTGCGAGTTAAAGCAGTATTGCTTGGAGCTGGTGTGACCTCTTTCTACAGGGCTTACATCGGTATCCCAAGTTACCCTCTGGCCACTGACAAGTGGGGTCCAGGACCAGGGTAGCCAGGATTGAGCAGCACTTTCAGTCCCGAGGGCAATGCCCATTGTAATGATTTAAATTACATGGTATTTAATAAGCCATAAGGCGTAAGATTCCATAGTAAATATGAAATCAACCTTATGGATCTGTGAGGTTATTTTAAACCAGAAGATTGGAACTTTTTAATGCAGGGATTAGATAGCCGCTACGTATTCACTCAGAGACAACAGAAGAGAGAGAGAGAGTCAAGTTTCAAAGTTTAAAAATTTATTACTGCACAAATTAAACTAGACTAACTTTAAACACTAAATGTATGGTGTAACTAAGGTGGATGAGACGATGAATGGGGTAAGGTGTGATGTTGCTCAGAACCAGCAAATCCGAAGAAGCGATTAGTTCTGATGGGAACTGAAGATGATGTCTTTGTGCTAAGCTTTGATTAGGAGATTCATAAACACATTTGACGCCATTTGTCGGCCTACATACCCTTAGCGGAAGTCCCCGTTAGATCAGGAATGTCGAGGTCCAGCTTGACCTTTTCTGGAACCGAAGCCGGTAGGAATAGCAGCGGTTGCCGACCAGACCAGTCTTTGAGATACTTCCGGGTCACGACAATTTTGTTGGCGTTTAGCGAGACCCAAACCTGGGTCTTGATGGTTCAGCTTTTATTTTGACAGGAACCATTGCAGCGGTTGTTACGGCAACAGATATTCCCAGCTTGTCGTTGGTTCTTTCGGCTGAAGAGGAAAGTTACGGATTGGCCAGTCAGACACTTCTCTAGAAGCGTTAGAGATGGCGTGGCATAGTTTTATTCTTCGGATGTTTTGGTTTATGGTCGAATAAAAAGTTGACAGACTTGCCAAACACCATCAAAACCACACCTCCGTCAGATCTGGCAGATTCTGATTGGATCAGTGAAAGTAATGTGCCACGTCTTTTAATGCTACGTGAGATCAGTCCTGTTGGAACATTTAAAGTCATAGTACCTTTATATTCTGTAGGATTATAATAAAGTAATTAATATTTTGATTTCACAGATTGGTCACAACTTATTTATTGACTAACACTTTGCGTGATTAGCTTTTTTAAAATAGAGTTATTTGATTAATTAAAAGAAAAGAGTCCATTCTTCATTCTTCTGTTGAGCTGAAAAGAAGCATGTTAGAAGCAAATGCATGAGACCTTGAGGCCATATCTCATGTAGGGTTGTCACGGTAACCGGTATAGCGGTAAACCCCGGTAAAAAAGTTGACAATAAAAATAACCGTCCAGTTTTTAAAAAACTAAATTATCTCGGTGGGTTTACCGTGGCCGCGGTTTCAGCGCGGTGACCCTTACCAGCCACCGTCGCTTCAGCTGAAGTTCCCGCGGTGCGCACACGCACTTTTTAGTTTGCAACGGCACCAAAACTTTGAAGCTGAAATAATGGCCGAAGGAGGAGACGGCAGCGCCCAGGACATCCATCAGCCCTCAAAGAAGACTAACTCGGAAGTATGGGCATATTTTGGATTTCTGAAAAATGCTGAGGGACAGTTAATAGAAGACGGCTATCCCATTTGCAGAACGTGCAGGAAACAAGTGTCTGCAGAAGGCAGCAACACTTCGAATCTAATGGCACATCTGCGTGACCATCACCCACGTCTCTACAGCCAGTGCAAGGTAAGTTAACGTTAGCATTTTAGCTTAAATGCATGACGTGAGGACTTTTGGTTGAGGGAGAATGCAACGAGTCACTATATACTGCAGCCGCAGCGTCCTCTGCCAGTATTTAAACCGTGTCACGGACACCCTGTTGCTGGATGAAGCATCGTATTTGTTGATGATGAAGAGAAATACACAATTAGTTCCTTGTCATTGATTTGTTTACTTATTCAATGCCATTTATACTTGAACATTTGGATTTGATTACATAGTGTAGTAGTTATTTTAGTAATTTGTTTAAAGTGGCTATTTATTTTAAATACATATTTTTTAAGGTTGACTTGTACAGCGCTCAAGTCAAGCGTGGACTGGAGTTTTAGATTTTCATTTTGATAATGAAGAAAACAAGTATATGAGAAAACAAGTGGTGTTTCTTTGATTTGTTTACATATTGTTTATGTTTTGAATGTTTGGATTTGTATAATTTAAACCTGCACTGACTACTGTAACACGTTCCAGAAAAAGAAGCTATTTGTTCCTTTACTTGTGAAAAGTTGCACTTTTGCTAAGGCTTTGTGTTATTTTAGGTTTAATAAACACTGTTAAACCTTTTCAGAACTATTTCAGTTTGTGTAGAACAGGACTATCAATGCTTTCTGAACATATGCAACACCGTTTAAAAAATACCGCGATAATACCGAAAACCGTGATAATTTTGGTCACAATAACCGTGAGGTTAAATTTTCATACCGTGACAACCCTAGTCTCATGCAGACTAGTTCTGTGTCAGAGGAGAGGGGAAACGGTCATTTCATTCCGTTACACCACGTTCTAATTTTATAAAGTCTGGCATCGTTTCTCACACAGTTACAAAGGCTTGAGTCATTCATTTAGTCAAGGGGTTGCCACCTTTGGATCACAAATGAATGCATTAAATGTGACGCGATAATCATTGCTCTGACTTTCGAGTTAAATTTAAAAAGGATGTGATGGTAATGAATAAGTACATAAAATAAAAGGTATAGCTTTGAAAGGGAAAATATTAATCCTAAGGCGTGGTTAATAACATCCCTAAAAGTGTAACCTATGTTTTTCACCACATAAACAACACAGTTTCAGGCTTGCTGCTGTACTTAGTGCTACTAACGCTAGCGCTCGCTAAACGGCTAACCCACATCTGACCTACCGGCACTTTGAAAGGAGAAGAGCTGGGATTGTCCACAGAGATGCTCTTCTCCGAGCTCCCCAGACCAGATATGCTCCTCCTCCTTGGAGACTGCTCCGAAGACACTTCTGCAGGGACACAAAGAGACAAAGACATCAGATTAACCACAGAATCGTCATCACCACCATCATCACCAAGCAGTAAAATCCCAGTAGTTAAACTGCATCAGAGTATGGGAACTCTGTCAGAGTTCATTGAAATTCAGTGTAAAAACCTCCCTTTGTCCTGCAGTGTTGGTGTTCATTTTCTGAGTTAAAACTGATTTTTGACACTTTATAGTGTAACCTGGCAGGTGTTACAAAGAATGTACTCTTTCACTTTTACTCTATACTCCAGTATTGATGAAAATTACTCCAAAGCAGTGTTAAAAGTACTCTAGTAAGCTCCGCCTTCTTCCTCTCCTTCAGAGGGCAAGGTTCATTGTGGGTAGTCATGTTTTTAGTTAGTTTGTCCTATTTTGGGGTGTTTGTTTATTTTGGGGGCATTGTGTTGTTCATAATTATTACTTTGTTAACGGTTGGTGGTGTTACTTGTTGTGTCGTATTGGCACCGTTAAGTGAGGAGGTCATTCACAGGAATGACAACGCTGTGCCGTCAATATAAGAGTGGTTCATGCTGCTCTCATTGGCTCTTTGAAGTCATGTGGTGTGTAAAGCATGAGCTAGCTGTACAAGCTAGCTTTCAGCTTCATGGTTCAACAGCTGCAACAATATTAACATTGTTAAGAGTTAAAATTTCATATCTGGAGTTAATTTAGAACAACACTTTAAAAATAGCAGTGTCATAATAAAACAACTCTTTGTCTTAACTTATCTTATAGAGTCAAATAATTTAACAATCGTGGGTAGTGATGCACCTATATGACATTTTCAGGCCGACACCGATATCCGATTTTAATATCACTGTTATGGCCGATAACTGATATTTGCAGATACCAATATACTGACATTAATGCTTCTAAAATCAGCAGATTTTGTGTAGAATAAAAATGATTGCAGCTGAGTTTACGTTATTATGTACACACAGCAAACATATTTACGGTCCTGTGATTATTTCATTCACTGTCACATGACTGAACAGTTACACATCAGAGTAAGCAACACTGAGATCAGTGCAACTTTTACAGTGTACAGGGAGGGACCTTATGCTCACTGACTCAAGTGTTGAAATTCATCATCATCATCACCCTGGTCACCATCATAATCACCACTATCACCCTGGTCACCATCATCACCATCGTCAACCTTGTCTCCATCATCACCATCATCCTGGTCACCCTCATCATCATATCATCATCATCAACATCACCCTGGTCACCATCACCACCACCATCATCATCATCACCCTGGTCACCATCATCATCATCATCATCCTCGTCTCCATCATCATCATCATCATCACCACCCTCGTCACCATCATCATCACCATTATCATCCTCATCACCCTGGTCACTATCATCACCATCGTCAACCTTGTCTCCATCATCACCATCATCAACCTTGTCTCCATCATCACCATCATCCTGGTCACCCTCATCATCATATCATCATCATCACCCTGGTCACCATCACCACCACCAGCATCATCACCCTGGTCACCATCATCATCATCATCATCATCATCATCATCCTCGTCTCCATCATCATCATCACCACCCTCGTCACCATCATCGTCGTCACCCTGGTCACCATCATCACCCTCGTCACCATCATCATCATCATCACCCTGGTCACCATCACCACCACCAGCATCATCACCCTGGTCACCATCATCACCCTCGTCACCATCATCATCATCATCACCCTGGTCACCATCACCACCACCAGCATCATCACCCTGGTCACCATCATCATCATCATCATCATCATCCTCGTCTCCATCATCATCATCACCACCCTCGTCACCATCATCATCATCACCCTCGTCACCCTTATCATCACCCTCGTCATCATCTCAGGACTTAAAGCTGCTATAGCGAATCTGCAAACAAGCTAGGTTTAGAACGCAAACATGGAACACTCACCCCTCCCCTCTGGTATCTTCACTGGTACCTTACCGTGGTGGAGGGGTTTGAGTGTCCCAGTGATGCTAGGGGCTAAGGTCAGCGTTGACAAACAGGTCCAAGGCAGGGCAGCTTTATTTACAGGTCCTTCTCAAAAAATGAGAAGTGAAATGTGTCAAGCATAAACCAAGCTTTATTAGACACGGAAATAAATTTCTGAACGAATAGGCTGTTCCCAGAGTGATGCATCAAGGCACCTCAGTGGGATGTCTGTGGGAAGGAAAAAGGGTGGCAGAAAACGCTGCACAACGAGAAGAGGTCACCGGACCCTGAGGAAGAATGTGGAGAAGGACCGATTCCAGGCCTTGGGGGATCTGCAGAAGCAGTGGACTGAGTCTGGAGTAGAAACATCCAGAGCCACCATCAGGGCCGTGCAGAGACCTTTGATGGGGCGGGTGCTCAAAGTAAAAAAAAAAAAAAAAAAAAAAAGGGCACTAATAGAGCTTAACTTTTAAACAGATTCACAATCCAACAAGTTAGAAAATTCAGATAATGAGACCCTTGGGTTCAAACAACATAATAAAAATATATCAATTAGTGTCATTAGTGTTAATGTTAGTTCATAACTAATAGTTTTAGTTTATAAAGCTGACTTATATCTAGAGATGTTACAACCACATTTTTGCCCCTGATCCAAGTCCAAGTTGTTTGATTTTTGATTATCTTCCAATACCGAGCCCTGTTCTGACACTAGGTGGTGATGCAATGAGTTAAAAGAAGAAAGAAGACGTCCTTCTGTCTGTATTAGTCATTTTGTTATTTTAGCCTTAAAAGGTCACTCGTTCAGGAAGTACATTTAACAGTATTCAAGATACTTTATTGTCATTGCACAGGTGTACAACCAAATTGACTTTGCGCTTACTAAAGACAGCTCTAGTAAAAGCTAGTAAAATAAATGTCAAATAAATGCAACCACAGAGAGTTATCCAGTGTGATCTACAGCTATGTTAGCTGAGATCTTTTTCCTGTCAGTAGAAAATTCTTGATCCCATTCCATGATCTCGATGAACTTAACATTAAACATGAGAGCTCTGCTACCAACCTAACAACACCCTTTACACAAAGACACCATCATCCCATATGTGGCAGGAGTCTAAGAGAAACTTAGAAGAATCTTCTCCAAACACAACATCGCGGTTAACTTTTTTTTTCATTTATTATTAAAATAGGGGGAAAAAAAACAATACTAACAATAAAATGAGGTTTCTCAAACCAAGAAAATGAAAAGGGAACAGAAAGAAGAAAACTTATGCCATCTGCCCCTTTTTAACTAAAATGACATTTATACACTGAAATAACAATAATTATAAATTTGCCTATACAAAGTAATTGCTTGACTGATTAGCTAACTAGAATTCAATTTGTAAAGAAAAAAAGAAATAATTAATAGTAATAATAATTCAAAAAGCAAAAGGATTTTTGCACATATACCTATCCATACATATATCCATTAAAGTGCATCGCATGCCCATATGGTCGCATATACTTCCTATATACATATAGATATACACACGTATCCACTACATATACACATAAACAAACATACATACATATTTATACATATACACATGAATATACCTACACACATCTTCTATAGCTTTATTTATTTATTTATTTTATATAATTGATTTTCACATATATGTTTCCAGTATTTCATTTTTAATTCATTTTTTGAAAGTAAATATCGTTTTAGCATTCTTGATTACATTACCTAGCTTATTCCATATTTTAACTCCATATATAGAGACACAGAGCTCCTTTAGAATTATTCTATGCTTAGGTATTAGGGTTGTCACGATACTAAAATTTCAAACTCGACTTGATACTGGAAAAAAACTCGATACTCGATTTCGATACTATTTAAAAACACCAATTTATTGAACAAGTTTATTCAAAAAATAACATTCCTCAATTTATATTGCAAAAATTAAATGTTAAGAATTAAGTGTATAAAGTGCTTAAACCTTTCAAGTATTTTTTAAAACGTGTATACAAAAACTGGTGAAAGTTAACACTTTAAATCATGAATTGTCTCACTATATATACACTATTTGCAGAGTGGTGTTTTGCTGCTTAAACTCTGTTTAAGGTGCATTTTTGTCATAAGATGTAATGCCATATGTTTTGTTCTGTACTTTTGACCAACTCTGTTGGTCAATAAAGGGAGAAAACGAATTTCTCCACAGTAGGACAAAGGTACATCTACCGGTAATCTTAATAAAAACAGATTGGCGCACGGCAGTGACGTCATTAAAAGCGCCGGTTAGATTAGCCGCAGCTAGTCTGTTTACGACTAGAAATCCCAGACCCGCTCCAAACGAACAGGGGAATCACGTTAATGATTCCTAACAAAACATTTCGACATGAAGATGTTTTGGAGCAGATAATGTCTTATTTCGAGGCTGCACCATGGGTGCCCGTCCGCACCCGTTATATGGATATACGCTGACGGCGATTCGCCGATGGATCTAAATACCCCGGGGAATCCAAGTAGCACCAAAGTTGTCAGCGTGAGTAAACAAACGTACTGCATGCTAGAAATTAAGTCCGGGTTGCAATAAACGGGAGTTTCCTTTAAGCACATAAGCGTGAATATACAACTAAGTGTTGGACTTGGTATGCTAATTAAGTTGGGCTGTGAAGCGCCTCCCAAATTCGCTGTTTATGTTTTTGTTTATTTATTTGGCAGACAAAACTTAGATCGGAGACAACTCGTGTGGGAAATTGCAATGTAGCCATGCGGCGTCTTCTTCTTCTGTTTGTCTGGGAGGCGGAGGCTGCTTTATGACATCTGGCTGTCGTGCGTGTCGGTGTACTTGAAGAAGGCTGTGTATAATAGTCCATAATATCGATACCACAGGGATGGAATATCTAATTTAGATACCACTTTTAGTATCGATTTATATCTAGGTATCAATTTTTTTGACAACACTATTAGGTATTGTAAATAATTCATGTCCTTTTAGTTCATATTTACTCTGTCTTTTTATAAATCTTCTAAGTAAA